TGCACATGATTAAAAATAAGGGAGAAAAAATCACAATGAATAAATAAGTTGATAAAATTATGGCTGGTCTAGAACTAAGATAATCATAGGTAGATTCCATTTAAAATATCAATATATGGGTTAAATATGATGACCAAATCTTCCAGTGTATCAAGTCATTCCATGACTGACTGTTCAGACGTTTTCCCCACAATCAGAGTCTCATGTCTAATCTAGGTCTCCTTCTGTGGTCAGTTTTCTTAGGCCATGTCTACACTACAAATTTACGTTGACTCGTTATGTCAGCATTCAGCTGCCGCAGTTAGCATATTGCTTGTGTGTGCACATGCTTATTTCCTTGTTGGCAGTGTGTGTATTATGCAAGAGTGCTTGTGTTAAAGCAGAGTGCAGTGCACCATGGGTAGGGATTCCAGTGTACAAGTTACTACTGTCCAATGTGCTGTCTTTTGGGAAGCATTGGCAATGCCTGATGGGGCTGAAATGAGCTGTGCATGAATGACTTGGAGCATGGATTTCAACTTCCCAATTTTAACTGTTTCCAGTTTGTGTTATCTGTATCCCATAATTTTTGTGCTTCCCCTACCTCTCCCCGCCCTCCAAAAAAAAAATCCTACAAATCCATATGGGACTTGCCACTGTTCACGAACTCGGAAAGAAGCATGGGGCCTGCATAGCTCTGTCCTAATGTCATTCTTGAGTGTTGCAAGCACAGGGTACATGATTCGGGAGAATTGAGAATGTTAAAATGCCAGTAGTGATTCTGCAGGAGCCATTGCCCCCCTGGCTCCTGAAGCCACATGAACTGCACCAGGGAATGATTGCACTACCCGCGCAACAGATGCAGAATGACAGTTGTGTGTGCATTTGGTTGCTTGAAGGGTCACAGGCTCTGTTTACTCACAAGATTGGACCTTAGTGAGAAACATTTCCCAATGAACATAAGATATGTGATGCAAAGGGTGAAAAGTTTCCACTGGAGAGGAAATCAGAGGCAGTATGCGGAATTTGGCTCTCCAGATACAAAACGTATTAGAAGAATTCCACACAGAACTATACAGGTCAGGGAGGATTTGAAAGCCAATTTTAACAGTGAACCACAATTGTATGTATGTTGTTGGATCTGTGCTCTCACAGCCTTTTTTCCTCAGACAGGCATTGGTCCTGCTCTTTTGTGACTTAGTTGGAATTGTGTGGCGATTGCTATATATGTAGGAATACAGACTTATCACTGCACCAATTAATTTTGTTTCTGAAATATCCTATTAGTTGTGTGACATTGTGCAGTAACAGGTAATGCGTTGCTTTCAGAACTGCTGAGCACTCAGCAGCATATGTTGTGAACTAATAATGGTGAATAATGTTCCAAATAATAGAATTTTATTCTGTAACAAAATCACGGTGGAAGAAATAAGTGTGCTCTTCTTGAAACATTCAAGAATGAAAGCTTCATCAAAAGTTCTCAGGAGGATTCAAGGAATTTTGAATGCGTACATAAAAAGATAGTTACCTGTTTCCATAATTGGTGTTTTTCAAGATGTGTTGCTCATGTCCATTCAACAGTGTGTGTGCTCACCCCATGCACTGATGCCTGAAGATTTTTCCTCACCAATACTTGTAGGGAACTGGGGTCAGAGCCTCTTGGAATGGCTTGCACATGCCGCGCTATATAAGGCACTCTTGGGCCCGTTCCTCCTCAGTTCCTTCTTGCCGGGAAACTCCGACGGGGGAAAAAGAGGGAGAGAGGGTGAATGAAAATGAGCAACACATTTCAAAGAACACCAGTTACAGGAACAGGTAACCATCTTTTCTTCTTTGAGTGCTTGATCATGTCTATTCACCAGTGTCTGTGAAGACGGATAGGAGTCTCAAGAACATGTGGATTGCAACAGAGCAACACCAAATGTCATTCCTAGCATGATGTGTAATCACATAGTGGGCTGTGAAGGTGTGCACTGAGGACTATGCTGCAGCACAACAGATGTCCTGGATGGGGACATTTGCTAAAAAGGCTCTGGTTGAATGAGCCTGGCCCAAGTCTGGGGTAGGGATGTTAGAAATGGGTTATTTTAATAACTGGGTAACCACAAATTCTTAGTGGTTACATAGTTACTACGGCTGGCAGCCAGTGCACTCCCGGTTCCGCTGCCGGAGAGCCTCGTCACCTCGTGCTGCTGCCTCTGTATCAGAGCTCCCTCTCTCCCCAGGGAACTTAGGTCCCCGATGGATAGGGACTCAGCAAGGGGGGGGGGCAGGCAGTTCTGCAGAAACTGGCTCTCTGGGCATATCAGCTTCCACCTGTTCCCCTCTTCCCCATGCTGCTGCCTACTGGTTAACCAATTAAACAGGATTTTACGTCTCTACTTGAGATTCTTCCAGAATCATCTTGACACCTACAATGGTACGGGGGAGGAGTCAGCAAGGTCATTCATAGCAGCTAACTCTTTAAAGCTGTGGGTATCCAACATGCTAGCCACATTGAACAATGTGGCTATTAGTCTGGTTGGGTGAGGATAGTTCACTATACCAATAGCCACTATAGTGGCTACTGCTTCAGAACTGGTTGGACACCATGGCTGCGTCTAGACTGGCAAGTATTTCCGCAAAAACGGCCGCTTTTGCAGAAAAACTTGCCAGCTGTCTACACTGGCCACTTTGAATTTGCGCAAGAACACTGACGATCTAATGTAAGATTGTCAGTGTTCTTCCGCAAAAATACAATGACTCTCCCATTCGGGGAAAAAGCCCTCTTGCACAAATACTTATGCAAAAAAGCCCCAATGGTGAAAATGGTGATCGGGGCTTTCTTGCACAAAACTGCGTCTAGATTGGCACGGACGCTTTTCCGCAAAAAGTGCTTTTGCGCAAAAGCGTCCGTGCCAATCTAGACACTCTTTTCCACAAATGCTTTTAACGGAAAAACTTTTCCATTAAAAGCATTTGCAGAAAATCATGCCAGTCTAGACGTAGCCCATGGCTTTAAAGGGAAAATACCTGGGGACCATTCAAAGGGTTATTCAGGAGTTCACAGTTTTGATGAATTGCAGAGGAATGGCATGGATTGATAAGGTCACTGACTTTGTGATTAGATACATCCTCCCTATAAGAGCAGTTCTTTGTTTCCTTTCTGCTTTTTGGCAGTTTTTTTCAGTAGTTTGCACACAACAAATCCCACAGTCTCTTTTCATACAATCTGAAACAAAAGCCACCATTATTCCACCTTAGCTCAGGAAACCAATCTAGGACCCCCAACACTTCTGCTGGCCTCTTAAGGTATACAGATAGCTGATTTATTTTAATGCTTCTAACATTAAATCACAAAGAGATGGGTGCTTTTTTGAATCTCAGCTACAACGGAGTTTCAAATACATCAAACAACGTGTACAGCAAGAAAAATCTGTTTCACAGCTAAATTGAGATTTTTAAATGAGGTTAATTTGTTTACCTTTGGAATGAAACATACTCAGTATCACTAACAAAAAAATCATCAGTTTCAACTATGGCAGTGTGACTGCACAGCCAAGAAGTAATAACAAAAAAGTATGCCCTGCAGAAATGATTCCCAGTTTTGTTGTAGAACCTGAACTGCTAGAGTGCTTTGAACCCTGACTGGTTTCTTAAGTCTGCTAAAAATATTTTACATTTACTTATCAACTAGGCCCACCGAGGGGCGAGATACTGGGGACAACTTCCCTAGTGCTTGGCAGTACAAAAGGTCCCAGAGCTCCTGGCCATGATTGTTGCCACTGTGGCAGCTGCTGGAGCCCCAGATCCTTTAAGTTGCTGCCGGATCACATGTGGTGCACTCTGGGTGGCTCTAAGAGCAGCAGAGGGGCACCCTCTGGGCAGCGCTGAGTACTTCCTAGCCCCAACCCTGTCCCTTATGCCTGAGCTGCTCCCTGCCCCCCAGCCTTGCCCAAGGCCAGAGCCTGTGTAGCACCAGACTCCAGTCCAGACTCTGCACCCTTTGTCTGCTCCTGCACCCAAAATTCTCTCCCAGAGCCTGCACCCCAATCCCTGCCCTGTACAAGAGCTTGCACTCCTCCTCACCCCGTCCTTCACCTATATTCCCTCCTAGAGCCCATTACCCTCTCCCACCCAAACTCCCTCCCAGAGCCTTAGGCAGCTGGCAAAGGTGTGGGCTCTGGGCACTGCCAAAATTTCTGCAAACCTTCAGCCTTTGTACTTGGATATTAATGATACCCTTTAAGGGGACTATATTAAATAGTGGTAAACAAAATGATTTTAAAAGTTGAAATCAGTCTTTAAATGGACTAAAATGAAAGTTTCATATAACAGGATATAAAAAAAAAAAGATAATGTCGAAGGCAGGGGCAGTGAGAATAGTCTTTTATGCTGCATAAGCACACAGGAAGTACAGGCAGTCCCCGGGTTACGTACAAGATAGGGACTGTAGGTTTGTTCTTAAGTTGAATCTGTATGTAAGTCGGAACTGGTGTCCAGATTCAGCTGCTGCTCCGCTGCCCGAGCCCCTCCGCGGCTTTGCTCCGCGTCTTCCTGGTCTGCAGACCAGGGAGATGCGGAGCAGCTTTTCTTGCCCGGGAGTACACGTAAGTCGGATCCGCGTAAGTCGGGGACTGCCTGTATACGGATTTGAGAATTCATCCATGTGCCTCAATATTACCTCCCAGATCCTGCACCAGTCACAACCTCCTCCACCGAAATTCCCTCACACCCCATGCCCTCTCCTGTACCCTGATCCCTTTCCCCGAGCTCCTTTTTGCACCCAGCTTGAGTCAGCTAACATGGTCAGCCATGGGTGCCTTATTGCAGTGTAGACATACCCTGAGAATTAAAGGAGGGGGGTAAAATGATCTCTGTATTTAACTAGTGTAAGGCTGCAAAGGGCTTTGGGTTCCATTCTAGAATGAGGATGCTGCAAGTGAAAAGCTATTTTTGGTTTCCTTTTTATTCTCAGCTTCTTGGGAATAGAAGACTAGTACATTACTTTTGTAACTGGAAACTTTCTTCTTGGCTTATAGGGTGTGAGGACTGTGGCAAAAGCCTTATAGGAGAATGCAAACTTCATGGACCCCTCATCAGGGTTAAAGATAGGGTTATTCCCAGTCAAGCCCACCTTACCCTACCTCACTACCTCACCTTGCGAGTGCTGGAGCTGCGACCTGGGAACCAACAAAGTAAGTGTCTGTAGTTCTCTTCACTATGGCTTGGGGAAGGGACAAAAAGGTACTAACCCTGCTTGTTTTCATAATTAGTGGTGGCATTTAGTTCAGATAGACTGTTTAGAACTATCTTAGTTCTCAGTTGACCACAGCTATGTCCCAGAACCAGCCCCCGATTGATATGCAGGGGTACATAGGCCAAACCTGAGCAGTGCTGTGACCCCATGCTCCTTGCGGCAATAGCACAAGGTTGGAGGCCTAATCAAATATATATTTTAAAGCCATTTCCAAGCTTTCATGGATTTTATTCACATTCATTAATTTCTGCAACCCCTGCAACAAAACTGTAACCCTACCTTTATAGAGTACTTCAGTTAATTGTGATGGTCCAAAGGGGGGGGAAAGAGGTTTAAGAAACAAAGTAGCTATTAAAGGAATGAAATTCAGAGGACATATGAAGATTCAGTACAGTTCACCTTTTCTGAATCTAAAGTCAGCATTGAAGAAAGATTGTATTGTTTCTTTCAGGCATCATGATAGTTTGCTTGAATTTGGAGAGAGGGGGAATTACAAACTTCTTGCTAATGTATAAGTTTCAGAAGGGCCGCCGAGTTAGTCTGTAACAGGAAAAACTTAAAAAACAACTAAAAGTTAAGTAGCACCTTAAAGATTAACAAAACATGTAGATGGTATCATGAGCTTTCATGGGCACAACCCACTTCATCATCTGAAGAAGTGGGCTGTGCCCATGAAAGCTCATACCACCATCTACATGTTTTGTAAGTCTTTAAGGTGTTACTAGACATTTTGTTGTTTAAGTTTTTCCTGCTAATTTATAGATATTCATGAAAATTTAATTCTGTTTTGATAGTAATGCAGAAAATGAAGGTCTTCTATGCAGGACTATCAATGTTAATATTGTATGAGGGAATAATGGAATGCATGATAGCTTGCTTTGTACTTTCATAACTATACACACTGTTGGAGAAAGAACTGTCAAACATACCAAAGTGCAGACCCCTGAGGAAGTGATATTTAGCAGCTTACAGTAGTGCTCCTGATGCTTAGGTCATTCTGAGTGGTTGATACTATTAGCCCCACAAGACTCATTGAATCAAATTTCCTAATGCACTTAAGTTCCACTTTAAAAAGTGACTGAAGAATTTACCGAGTAGAGCAGTGGTTCTCAAACTTTTGTATGGATGACCCCCTTTATAAATTAAAAACACATTTTTTGTATGTATTACTATTATAAATGCTGTAGGTGAAGTAGGATTTTGGGATGGAGGCTGACAGTTTTTGACCTCCCAACATGTAATAACTTTAGCACCCCAGTTTGAGAACCCTGCTTTATTTTTCAGCCTGAATCTGGGAAAGGAATTCAATGCACGAGCCCTATTTTACACTAGTTCATTTCCCTTAGTTGAAGATAATTGGGATTTAGATTATGTTGTGTGTATTCTTCTTAGGCTGGTCTTATTTTTATTCACAGTCCTTGGAGTGTTTGCTAAGAAAGTTATACAGAAGAGAACTCAATTTGGTCCTTTTGTTGGGAAACTGTCTACAAAACTTACTCACTATGATGACAACAGGCTAGTTCTACAGGTAACTCAGAGGTTCAGCTGGACTTTGGAGGATTTCTTTGTAGAAGGGTTTGTAATATTTCAAATTTTTATTTGACGCATTTCTTTTTAAAGTGACCTGAACATCTCTGTTTTTCCTATTCAAGTGTTTACTAGACATTTTGTTGTTTAAGTTTTTCCTGCTAATTTATAGATATTCATGAAAATTTAATTCTGTTTTGATAGTAATGCAGAAAATGAAGGTCTTCTATGCAGGACTATCAATGTTAATATTGTATGAGGGAATAATGGAATGCATGATAGCTTGCTTTGTACTTTCATAACTATACACACTGTTGGAGAAAGAACTGTCAAACATACCAAAGTGCAGACCCCTGAGGAAGTGATATTTAGCAGCTTACAGTAGTGCTCCTGATGCTTAGGTCATTCTGAGTGGTTGATACTATTAGCCCCACAAGACTCATTGAATCAAATTTCCTAATGCACTTAAGTTCCACTTTAAAAAGTGACTGAAGAATTTACCGAGTAGAGCAGTGGTTCTCAAACTTTTGTATGGATGACCCCCTTTATAAATTAAAAACACATTTTTTGTATGTATTACTATTATAAATGCTGTAGGTGAAGTAGGATTTTGGGATGGAGGCTGACAGTTTTTGACCTCCCAACATGTAATAACTTTAGCACCCCAGTTTGAGAACCCTGCTTTATTTTTCAGCCTGAATCTGGGAAAGGAATTCAATGCACGAGCCCTATTTTACACTAGTTCATTTCCCTTAGTTGAAGATAATTGGGATTTAGATTATGTTGTGTGTATTCTTCTTAGGCTGGTCTTATTTTTATTCACAGTCCTTGGAGTGTTTGCTAAGAAAGTTATACAGAAGAGAACTCAATTTGGTCCTTTTGTTGGGAAACTGTCTACAAAACTTACTCACTATGATGACAACAGGCTAGTTCTACAGGTAACTCAGAGGTTCAGCTGGACTTTGGAGGATTTCTTTGTAGAAGGGTTTGTAATATTTCAAATTTTTATTTGACGCATTTCTTTTTAAAGTGACCTGAACATCTCTGTTTTTCCTATTCAAGTGTCATATGCAAGAATATATTCATACTGCATACACAGTCAGATCCAGTTTCATAATTTTCAGGTCAATGTAACTTTAGACAACTGTTTTTTCAATTCTGATCTAGTGATGCATAATTTGATACCAACATAATATGTAATACAAACCAATTTGATTCTTTAGTGTAGTGCTGAGGGGTTGTATTGCATATGCTCAATCTAGAATCTGCCCAATCTATTTTTAAAATGTCTGTAACAAATGGCTTCTACTAGTTCAACGAGGGTGTTAATCCTCAGTCAAACAGATTTTGCTCTTAGGAACTTTTTCCATAGGAGTAGGAGAGAGAAGTGGAGCTTTGGTAAAATCTGTCCTCTTATATATAAAAAGCAGCCCACTCACACCAACGATTAATCTTTTTCTGTAGGGCGAGTCAGCAATAGTGGCAGCAACTGGGTAAGACTTAAGACACCATCTGCCTAGAGAAAGCTTGCTTTGGCATAAGACATTCTCGACACCTACTGGGCAGGCAAGCCCACAGACAACTGGGATGGTCCTGAAAGTGCCCAGCAGTAGCTGATACAATATACCCCGTTGGAACTCCACTAGCAAAGGCTGTCTATAGGTTCTTCCAGCAAGTTAAAGCTGTCCTCTGATAGTGCAAACACCTGGCCTGTTCTGGGGATGGGGTGGGAGGGTGAAGACACAGGTGCAGGGAGTATAATTTATAACAGCTATACCAGTATGAGTGAATCAAAGACTTTTTAGTTGTTTCTTCTTAGCTACCTTTTAGCCAATTTTATACAATTGCCTCCCCTCTTTCCTCTGTCAGTCCCTCTATTCTCCTAGGTTTTTTTAAAGATTATGTTCAAACTAGCATAGCTCTGGCTGATACCTTACTTCAAGATGGAGAGAAAGACATGAGACTTTACCCTGGATTCTTTCAGCACCACAGCAGGAGCTTTGCATTCTGTCTGCCAGAACCCTGAGGGTGACTGAGAACAGCATCCATCCAGCAGAAATGTATTGTCATTAGAAACTGTTAGATGGAAAGCTTCTAAAGACAACAGAAAAGCAGAGAGTTGAGAAGCAATTATATGAAACACTCAAAAGCTTTCAAATGACCAGTGAAGCAGATAAATTACATATTTGTGCATGAAGTGTCAACATACAGAGAACGGAACATACCACTGCAGCAAGACAATCCATCTTTTAGTGTATGTCACTGAAGGGTGACATCCTGGCAGCAGATTTGAAGTATTTTGCCCAACACATTCTTTTTTTATATTGAAAAGGAATCCAAAAGGAATAATGTGAAGCAGAGAGAATGAGACACTTTCCAGGCATTGTCATTCATTAGTATGGCTTCATAATTGGTATGGAAATACAGCATGTGGCCAATCAAGAGGGATGAATGTTGAAATATCAACATACTGGCTGTTACCAAATTAGGCTTGTAATGTGAATTATATTATTGTTCCATGCAAATCAAAACTTCAGGACAGCATTGAAGATTGAGGTATCAAGCACTTAAGCTTTGAACTGTAACACATTTCCTATCTTACTCCCTGTCTGCTTGTGCTTAAACTTAAAATAACATACTTTAGAATGATATAAAAAGATAATAATTAATATAACCAATAATTACATATTTCAAACAAATACCTGCAGTTATTTCTGTACCTGGGCCCCTCAGAAATTGTTTAGTCTCAACTTTCTTTTCCAGGTGGCTCATTTAAAAGTAACATTTATTGTTTCTCAAAATATCTTTGTATATAATTTTATATATATGAAAAAATATATATATATAAAGCATTGCCCTTGATTCAAATTCAACACAAAACAGAGTGTCTTCTTTTCCACAGCTCTGTTATAACTCATCCATTCTCTCCTACTCTTTCTTCTTTTTCTTCAGGTATTGAAAGATGAGAGAAAGTACTTTCTGGATGCTCCCAGTGAAGACTGTGGCAATTGGATGATGTTTGTCCGACTGGCCCGGAACCAGGAAGAACAGACCCTTGTAGCCTATCAGTATGGTGGAGAAGTCTATTTCACAACTGTTAAGGTAGTTAAGACTGAGCCTCCTTATATGATTACCGTTCACAAGATAGTTTACTGTAACCAAATACTCAAAGGAGCCTGGCTCACCTTATTAGAGATGTGAGGCCAATTATACTTAAGTAACCTCCTCTCCATTACACACATCCCTTGATATCAATTAATGTACAAAGAAACAGGCAGCTTACTGGGATTTCTGACTAGAGCTAATGTGTCATGGAATCTGCTGCAAGGGATAGGAAAGAAAACTATAACAGTGGTAAAAAAGAATAGCTCAAGTTGCATTACTGATATCTGAATTTGTGATGAGCCTGCTCAGAAAGTACAGGTTGTACCTCCCTAATCTGGGAGTCTCCGGTCTGGCAACATCTGTGGTCTGGTAGGACCACGGATGTTCCTGGACCACAGGAGCGGAACAGGAGCGTAGTGGGGGGGAAGGGAGGCAGCGACTTAGCTGCGTCGGGGTCAAGGGATGAAGAGTCCCTGATTAGCTTGCTGTTCATTGTACAGTTGATTGACCATCCAACAGGCTAGCTAGCACTGATGCCAGACTATCTGGGAGTATCCCAGAAACAGCACAGGTTTGAGATGCAGCTGTATCACACATTTATAACTCACGATACAAATATGATACATACATATAAACAAGGATGTCATATTTAGCAAGTCATAACTTTTCCACTGATACCTCACATGGAATAGCTTGTAAGACTTACTGCAATTTTATAACATTAGTATCAGTAATATTACAAATGGCCACCCATATGCCATATAGCATCACATGAGCTGTCACTAGGGATGTTAAATGATTAACTGGTAAGTACATCCCTCTCAGTGAACTCTCGTGGTGGTCGTTTTAACATTCCTAGCTGTCAATGATTTAAGCAGATATTCAGAGAACAATTTCTGTAAAGGTAACAACTAGACTACCATCTGTTTTAAATAGGATGTAAAAGTTTCCTGTAGAAACAAAGACAATGTAAGTAAATACTGGGAATTATTTTCCATTCACAGCCAATTGAACCCCACACAGAATTAAAAGTGTGGTATGCTGCAGATTACGCCAAGTTCATGGAAGCTTCTCCAGTTGTCAAAGAAGAATCAGATATTTGTGCTTTATCACCAGTTTTAACTGTAAGTGTCCAAAGATTGCATCCAACCCAACATTTGACCTTATATCAGAAACCCTACTTGCTCACTTTGCCTCAGTTCACATGACTGAAAATGATCGTCAACTAGTCTAACATTAAATTAACAGTTTCACTCAAATAACAAAGGGAAAGCATTATCTGGAGATATATTACTTTGTATACTGTACTTGTACTCTAAACAGAGCATAAAACAGTGCTGGCATATACTGGTAAGCTTTGGAAAGACTCACATGCTAGCATGTATTCTTGGGAAATAGAGTACACCAGTTCTTAAAATTCTCCTTTGACCTACTCTAGCTTACACCCTAGCTCTGAGAAACATGTTGCAGCCTTACCCCCACATGTTAGAGCACAAAGACTTTTTATTTTCCTTTTTCTCCAACCCACAGGCTCATGGTTTCTGTACAGCTGCAGTATTGCTGAATGCTCTCAGCCTAAAATTAAGTGCAAAACTGACTCAGCCTTAATTATGGAACTGTGACTGTGCTTCCATAAGAAGAATAAACATAGAGACACTGAAATGAATTATGTGAAGAAATAAAATCACCAAAGGCTCAACAAGAGCTAGAATAGCAACAAACACCGGACACTACTATGGAAATAATCATTTACCCAATCATTTTTTTCCATGCTTGTACATGGCTAAGATTAATATGACTCAAACTGAACAGCAGTTTGGGTGTCACAGTTACATGTCAGACAACACAGGGCTGGTGAGAAGACTGTGATCTCTCTTTCTCTCTCTCTCTATAATGCTTAATCATGAGGAACTGTTTCTGTTCTCATTGCAGAGAGAGTGTGCCAACGCCTGGATATGCTCCAATTGTAGTAACGTTTTTGGGACTTTTGCTCTGCTGGAATCTCACCACTGCATCAGTAAAGACAAAGCACTTCTCCGCAGCTTCAGACCAGCAAATAAACTAGGGCCTCTAAAAGCAAAGGGCAAAATCAAAGGCAAACAGAGAGAAACTGGTTTGGACAAAAGCAATGCCCCGTACTATAAGGCCATTTCCTGCTCCCCTAGTGCAAAACCTACCTATGCCAGCTCAGGAAGTGTTTGTGGTTCCATTGTGACTTTTGTGCCTACATGGAGAAATGGTCAGTCTTCACTACTGACGGAAAGAGAAGTGGAGCAGCCCGATAGTTATCATTGCCAACTCTGTGGGAAGATATTTGTTTCCACTGAAAAGCTCAAGGTGCATTCTTATGGCCATACAGGAGAGCGTCCCTACAGGTGTTCTCAGCAGGGATGCACAAAAGCTTTCATTTCCAAATATAAGCTGATAAGGTACATCTCCTTAAGGCATAGCATCCCTTCCTGGTGAGAGTGTGGGGAAGAACAGATATCTTTTCTTGGTTTGCACTTGTGGGTTATGGTGTAAACTCCATTGGTCATTTCTGTATAAGATGGTAAGATTTAAATATATGCTGTTCATGGTTCATCTGTAAAAAAAAATTTGCTGTCATGCTGTCATGTGTTCTTACAACTATCCATTCTGATAGTGTGTGTATACATCCCAAGTCAGGTGAACTAATGAAACCTTTCTTCAAAGGAACTTTAGCACTTCACAAACATTATATGATTATGTCTCACCTCGCTTCTGGGAGCGTCACACCCTTTTTACAGATGAGAGAACAGGCACAGGGAGGATGAATTAATTTCCCATTGTGTTCCAACCAGTCAATGGCAGAACAGTATGTATTCCAACTCCCAATCCTGTTTTAGCCACTAGCCTCCCTGAAGTACAATTATAATTGCTGTTCCAAAAGCATTTTTTGCAGTACTGTTCATCTAGCTCTACAGACTATAAACCCCAATAGGCAGCTATTTAATAGAGTCTGGCTTTTTGAAAATGGCTGTCCTACAGCGCATAAGTGACTTCACATTTTGAAGCAGTATCCCACTTCAATTCATGAATTCTGTAAAATGTTGTTGTTCTTCTGTCTTAGGCACATGGCCATCCACTCTCCACAGAAATCTCATCACTGTGGTTACTGTGAAAAAACCTTCCACAGAAAAGACCATCTGAAAAATCATCTTCGGACTCATGACCCCAACAAGATGGCCTTCAAGTGTGAAGAGTGTGGCAAGAAATATAACACCAAGCTGGGTTACAAACGGCACCTGGCTCTTCATGCAGCCACCAGTGGGGACCTTACCTGTAAGGTGTGCTTCCAAGCGTTTGGAGACACTGAAGTGTTGTTGGAACACCTCAGAACTCATGCAGGGAAGCCAGGCAGTAGCACCAAGGAAAAGAAATATAAGTGTGATCATTGTGAACGCTATTTCTACACCCGCAAAGATGTGCAGCGTCACATGGTGGTTCACACGGGCTGCAAGGACTTCTTGTGTCAGTTTTGTGCCCAGAGATTCGGACGCAAGGACCACTTGACTCGCCACATGAAGAAAACTCATCCACAGGAGCTGCTGAAGGGCACGTTGCAGAATGGCGACTTGCAGAATCTGTCTGACCGTCTCTCTCCATTCAGAGTGAAGGAAGATGCCAGTATCCTCTCTTTTCCTGAGAGGGCTTCTATGCAGTATGGGCTTCTGAACACTTTAGAAGCAGAAGAGTACAGCAGCCCACATACACACTGTCAACAAAGCCTACAATCTACTCCTCCCCTTGAACCTTCTCATTTGCTCAGGATGAGCTGTGTAGATAGTCTCTCAACCAACTATTGTAAGCCATCTCCACCATTAATTCCTTCCAACCAGAATCTTAAACAGCACCACAGATATGGACAGAATACTCTGTCATGTACACTGGCATCCCTTAAAAACCTACCCCTCAAAAGGAATGTTAAAGCTCATAATGTGAATTTGCTTGAGGACCTGCCTTTACCAGCACCTCACAAAATCAATCTGGAAGAAGCTTCTTCAGGGTCTACAGGTGATGCTGGCAAATACATGATGCACAAGGAGCCTGTGACAACAGTCGAGTCTGTTAGCATGACAGATAATCTTACTCATATACTGGGTTTCTGGCAGTTCCCTCAGAATGACAACCAGAATAATGGAGGGGACATCACAATGGCATTCAGTCAGGAAGAAGCCTCACTCAAGCTGAACTGCCTCAGCCAACAGCAAGGCACACAGCTAGCTCTGGACGGAGTGGCCCTAAACCAGCTTCATCATGTTCCCCATTTTTCTTCCAGTACAAATTCTGTTGCATTGCCTCATTTTCACCATGCATTCAGATGACTATCACTTCTTTTAGGGCTTCTTTTCATACCCTCATTTAAAGAGAAAATCCCCAGACCATCTAAGACTTAAAAAAAAACCAAACCCCATATTGTAAGCATATTAGAATATCCAGGAAGTAACAGAATTAATAGTTTTATTTTACATAATATTTACTAGTTTAATAGCATATGACACCTGCAATTATAGAATAACCATTTTTTACATTTAAACCAAATAGCTGAACTAGTGTTCATTGAAAATTATAAGTTTACCTATTACAAGCACAACACATGAGGCTGCTAGGGGAGTGGGAAACAACATTTTAAAAGAGCCATGTCACTCAGTAATATTATACAAATGACTTGAACACCATTCATATTAGGAATGTTAAATTTAGATTATCAGCTAATTGAGTAGTCGAATTTCCATCGACTGCTCGATTAGTCAATTGGAGGTAACCCTCGCTATCCCCTGCTGCACCTCTGCCCACAGCTCTTACAACAATTAAAAGGCACCGGGGCAGCTGTCAGGACCCAGTGTGAGTGGGGACTTGGTCCCCACTCACCCCGAGTTCTCCGCTGTGTCCCTACCTTTGAAATGTAGCAAGAGCCATGCAGGGCTGTACTACATTTAAAAGGCAGAGATGCAGCAGTTGGCACCAAGCTCATGCGGTTTCCCCCACTGTGCATCTGTCTCTCCTGCCCCCCCTCAGAGATGGTGCTGGGGAAACCGGATTTTAAGTAGTCTCCCCCCAGCACTGGCTCCTGCTCCCCCACTTGCTGCCTTTAAAGCAGAGGCAAGGAGTGGAGCGATTAGTCAAATAGTGACTTGACTAGTCAACTAGTTGCTTACATGCCTAATTGACATGTGGAATTTAGGAGGATCCAGTTAGTTTCTATGGCAAACTTTTACATCACTGAGCTTTAAGAACGTTTAATGCAAGTTGTGACTTCAATTATTTTATCTCTTCTTGCTTTTTTAAAAGCAAAAAAACAACAAACCACTGTGGTGATTAAGTTGAACAAGAATATGTTTTTAAGTGCTACACTGGAGGTTTTGTGTGTGGAAACACGGTGTTTTTCCTGGGCTGGAAATAACTACCACCAATGTTGCCTAAGAATGGATAGGGTTAGGTGAAAGGGTTAGGTTTTTTCTGAAGAGGGTTAAACTGTAGTACATTACATTTTTGTTTTGATCTTGCAAGATGCTAGATATTCTGGGCCTAATTCAGGAAAGCGCTTAAGCTCATACTTAGCTTTAAGCGGCTCAGTCTCACCCACTCCAGAGCACTGAGCCCCTTGCACCATCTAACTCTCAGAGTAGGTCTACACTAACACTTTTGTTAACTTGTTGCTCAGGGGTATGAAGAAGACATCTCACAGAAGCAGCCACTTGGCCAGTGCTAAGTCAATGGGAGATGCTCTCCCACCAACCGAGCTACCATTGCTGATCGGAGGTAGTTTAATAATGCCAATGGGAGAGCGTGCTCTTGCAGGCATAGAGTGACTATCCAGGAGATCTTACAGCAATACAGTTGCAGCAGCACAGATGTGCCATTGCATAGTCTGTAGCAGGGGTGGGCAAAGAGGACTCTACAGGCTGGATCCGGCCCACCAAGCCAGTGGATCCAGCCCTTAGCCACCCTCCCGCCCCAGGCCAATTGAGACCTGCAGACAGGGAGCATGTGAGGTCTAACTCCTCCCCCCGCCAAAGGCATCTGGCAGCTAAAGCGCAATGCCAGCTTTTTCAAAACAGCTGGCATTTCTCTGTAGCCACCACGTGCCCTTGGAGGGCGGACATAGGGGCTGAGAGACTTTGCGTAGTCCCCAGGCTCCGAATGGCCTGGAGACAGGGGAGCGTGCCAAGTCTCTTCTGCCCTGCCAGAAGCGTGCAGCATCAGAGCTGTTTTAAAATAACCAGTGGCTCCTCTAGCTGCTGCATGCTTCTGGCAGGGTGGGGGCAGGGAGTGAGAGACTTGGCACGCTCCCCTGCCCTCAGGCCTTGATTTGCTTAGGGGCAGGAGGAGAATGCAAGATATTCTCCCACTGCAGTGGATAGAGGGAACTGCCAGCTGTTTTAAAATAGCTGGTGATTCTCTCTAGGCTGGAGGAAGGGGGGCAACTTCATGCACTTCCTCCACTCCTAGGCCAATCAGGATCTTGGGGAGGGGGATATGAGAAGTCTCCGAGCTCTGCCTCTTTTGCCCAAGGCCCCCCCCCCCCCCCTCCGGGACTGCTTCAGAAATGTATGAAGTGTCCCCCTTTTAAAAATTATTGCCCACCCCTGGTCTGTAGTATCAGGGGCGGATATAGGGCAGGGCGAGCTGGGCCGCCACTCCAGGCTCTGTGCTTCAAGAAGCCCCGCGCATGCGCTGTGGCAAAGGGAGGCCCCGCGAAATTGGGCTGCCCTGGGCCCCGCAAAATGGTCATTTGCCCCTGTGTAGTATACAGATGGCACTGTAAAGACAGTGAAGATCCTGTTCCCCATGCAAGCAGGCTCTGTTCACTTTTGCTTGATAATGATTACCTTTTTTAGTCCAGGAGAATGATGATTCAATCTGTAACATAATTGTTCCTTGGCAGCTAAACTATACTAGCAACATAAGCTTGATGTTACAGTTCTCCAAGTATGCATTAGGGATGGATGTTAACAAATGGTTGTTTTTGTAAATGTATAACCACTGAATATTTTTCAGCAGTTACATGTTTACATGCCAATGCTTGTGGGGAGCTAGCTATGCCCTCAAGTCCCATTAAGTTGTTTAAAAGTACATTGATTTATTAAATGAACTACTAAACAGCCCTTCTCTGAAAAATTTCGGAATGACTGCATACTTGTTGGGTATTTTTAAATTATTCTAGAATATTACGAATAAAGCTTTAAAAGTTGTGTGGCGGTAGATTTAGATGAACTAATTTGCTATGCTGTTATTGCTCATCTTGTATATGGTATTCATTATTTAACAATATGGATTGTTATGCATACTGTAAGCATACTATTAAGTATTTTATCAATTTGGTTTGAACTTCTGCATAGAGATTAAACTAAATATTTACATTTTCCTTCACTAAAGGTCATGTTTAAAAGAAAATGCAACACCAATAATAAGCTAGAATTATGAGTGTTTTGTATGGAAATGTCCATCTTTAACAGGATTACAGATTTATGATCTATGAAGAGGACCTCTGCACAGATCTGCTTTCAAGCTATTCTGAAGTAGAAGGGTGCTAGTCTTTTATAGCTAATGAAGAGTGCATTCAATTCAAAGTAACACGAATCACCTCTTACACTGAAGTTTAGATAAGTATGATGCAATGGTGTTGAAAATCTTCTAATGAAAAAAGTAATCAATTAGTTGATTCCCATCAGTCAATTCAAAGTTAGCGTCTAACATTCCTGAAAGCTTAAATGTTAGGGAAACTGAACACGGCCTGTGTTTTGTATTGAATCATTAAAGGCACCACAGGTCATATATCTGGTAAGAATTCTTATCTTTAGAATCTCAGAACTCTACACCTACTAAAGAGTTAAGTCATCTTTATTTTAAAATAGGAATTTGGGGGAAGGAAATCAGGGGGAGACTTTATTTTCTGTAACTGTAGTGTTCTTAAGGTGTACTTTGCTGAGATCCCTGGAGAATGATGTGTGTTCACCTATAGGGCAGGAACAAAGCACACAGTAGCATCCCTCTCTCTGCCCATTTGCTTCTAATGGAAAGACTTCAGTGATTGAGCTGCTTTACGCTCAAGACGTATCAGTGGAGGAAAAATATTAAGATATGTAAAGTGACATTATTATATTGGGGATGTGTTTGAAACTTCTGAGCTTGGGAGACTAATATAGGAACCAAAAACTCCCCAATTCTTATCCCAGGTGTATCACTTCCCCTAAAAGGCTCCATTTCCCAATCTATAAAATGAGGGTATTGATCCTTATCTACTTTACAGGTCTGTGTGAACAGTAATCTTTACATAGCTTTGAATATGTAAAGTACTATGTAAGTCTGAAGAAGTATTTTGTATAGTATATATAGCCACTTACAAGTGCATTTTTCTATTAAGAGAATTATTATTTTTCTAGATTATCTGGCAATTGCATTGCAAGGGTTTCACATGTTTTGCATGTATTAGTGTAGACTATCCTATGCCAGCAAAATAAATTCTTATCCAAATACACTTATTTTAAAAAACATGTATATACATTTGTGAGGTTTAGTTTTGCACAACTGTAAACTTGGGTGTATAATGTAGGTATTATTACTATTTCACTTAAAGTCAGGGACACTTCTTAAACTCAGCAAGATGTTAAAATTATAACAACATCCTGGGCAAAATTTTCAAATGATGCATGGGAAAATCAAGAGGCCATAAGCTCCTAAATCACCAGTGCACATTTGAAAAGCTTCTCTGCCCACGTTAGACTAATAACAAATAAGATTTAATTTAATCACAATAAGTTACCTCAGCAGTTTCCCCAATATAATTTTGTCATTTCAATTCACACCACAAGTCCTTATATCCTTTATCTTGGTGGAGTCTCATCTCACTAGCCTGCCAACGTAACCTGTAATAAAGTTTTAAACAAAATTAGAATAGAAAAGTGAAGTTACACATATCACTATTGTAATGCAGCTCACAGGACTCCTGTGGTTCAGTAACCAAGCACAAGTTAAACATTGCCACTATTCTGGTTAATACATAGTCAGAATAAACCATGCTTCCAGTGTTGGAGGTGGGTGGGAAGGAAAGGGGGAAGACACATAATAGAACTAGAATGTTCTCCAAATGAGAGCTCAGCATCATGTAACTGTAGTTCTTCCCAACTTGAGGACAGAAGCCGCTGTTTTCTCTTGCATCTGCTCTATTTTTGCTTCCCTCATATATTGTCAGCTTCCCAGCAAGACCGTGCTGCTGATGTTTATCATTAGTGTAAACCCAAACCACAAAGGATACATCAGTAGCGCATTCCTGGGGTTGGTCTAGCTAGTTGGAGTACTGGAGCAGTGAAGCCACGGCAAGGTGTACTTTAATTTGGGCTGTGCAAGCACACTCAGAATCCTGGGTAATTACTCATGGGGCAGGCACATATTGCTGCCCCTTCATAGCTTCTGGACCCAAGCTAGCTAGAGTAAAGCTAGCTCAGATATGTCTACTCAAGCTGCAGTCATACCTTGTGATGGCAGAGTGACATATACACTAAGTTTTAGATAGTCACATATCCCACACTTTTTTCCAGGAACAAGCCAGATAAAGGTACCGAATTAGTCCTGGGGGACAAGGTAAGTGAGATAATATTGGTCACTAAACCAACTTCTGGTAGTGAGCGAGACAAGTTTTAGAGCTACACAAAGCTCTTCATTTGGGTTTAATTGGGCCGGGGATCTTCTTGCTGGTTTTGTTGAGTCTCTCTTGTTTTCTGGAGCTAACCTTTATCTTGCTTGACCCTTGGGACTGAACTAGTGTCTCCGGTAACCAGCTTCTGTTATAATCAGCTCTTGGAGACACTGAGTTGCTGTCTGGGCTTGCTGGTCCCGGCGTCCTCTTTTCCCTCATGCTCAGCCTAGATCTGTAAGTGAAGCTGGACCTTTAATAACTCCATTCATCTCAGGTTGTGCCCACAAAAGTTCATGATACCCTCTACGTTTTGATAGTTTAAGGTACTGCTAGACTAATCATTGTTTTTTAAATTTTTCCAGTTACAGACCAACTTGGCTACCCCTCTGAAGCATTCATCTCTATAGCTAGAGTTAAAGAGGAAGGCTTTGTAGCAAATACGTGACCCATGTGTTTCACCATTACTTTACTATAATATCTAATATGTCCTTTACTACCAGGCTAGTTTGTGATGGGAGTAGATAATGTAATCACTCTTTTCCATCTCTAGACTCAACTATTCTAATGCATCAGCAATTACAGAGAGTAGCACCCTCAGATACTGTAGTGCAGTATATGAGCAGGTATAATTCAATATAAATACTTTGGCCATAGTGTCTAATATGTAATGTCTTCCAGTAAAATTATATTTTTTGACTTTTTGAAATTTCCTTCCCCGGTTTGTCTGGCTGGTTGAGTCCAGCTACATGCAGTGGCTCAGTTAGCTGCTGTATCTTCTAAACTGCACAACTTTGACCCTGAGCAGGAGCAGGCTCATGTATATCAAAGGGATGATAGAGACTATACAGAGATTTGGGAGTTAGCAGCTGCAGCTCTTGCTGCAGAATGGGAAAAGGGGGAAGCACTGAAGAGCGGGGAATGGCAAAGCAGTGGGAAAAATGGTCACTTGCACTTACCCACTCTATCTGCACCTTTGCAGACACTAAAAACAGTACTCATCAAATTTGGAAAACTCTTCCTTTTGGCTCTGAAAGATCAGCTCTGGTAAGAAAAGCTACATACCTGCTGTAGAGAGCCCCTGATTCTAGATTCCTCCACCTCCTCCCAAGCTGGCTCAGCTATCATTCATCTGTACTTCTGGGTCTGGACCCTGGATCCACTAAATTGATTCTGAGATTCCAGCAATGCATCAGGCATCTCCTGGTCCTTAGAACAACACGTTTTTCCTCCTTTTCTACATCCCTCTCAATTAACCCTCAAGATGCTTCTGAAGTACATACCAGAAGATTGTTCCAATTGGAAGGTTCAGTCCAGCTCATTTTTTAAAAAAACAGGTAAGTTTTCTGCTCTGAGTCAAACCATTTGTAGTCACCTTGGGCCTTGTATTTTTGGTCCCTTATCTTCTCATGATCTGTTTGCCAGTCTCAGTGGTGCCCATATCTGCCAGTTGGTCACCTTGTCATATGCCAGGATGTTACATATGATCAATTTCAGCTGGATTTGAATCTCCTCTCCTCAGAAGGATACCAGAAACTGCATATTGACCTTTTGTCAAGTTGCAGCAGGTTCACAGGATGGTGTCCCCTGAAATATGCCAGAAAGGTATAAATTGGGTCGCAGAAGTAGACAAAAGTGGTCCCTGTGAATACAGAATAGAACTGAGCTCCACAGCTCAGCTCCTGTCTAATGTTAGTTGTACTGATAAAGTGTCTTCTGGCCAACTTACCTCAGTGCAGCAAAATGTGTTGTTTTTTATAAGAGGTAGTCAAGTTTCTTAGAAAAAGAATGTGTACTCTGTTCTCTCCTGTGGCATTAAGATGAAAGGGCCAGTCCTTTAGATTACAGTTTATGCCAGGTATGGACTATAAAAAATTCTAATAATTCTCAGACTTATGTGACACCAAGAATAAGAGTATGTCTGCACTGTCCCCATTATAGTGGCCCAGCTATGCTGCTATAAGATATGCAGTGTAGCCACTTTTATCAGTGGGAGAGAGCTCTCCTGCTAACACAACAAAACCACTTCCAACAACGGTGGTAGCTAGGGCAGTGAAAGCCCATCTCCCGCCAACAAAGCACTGTCCACATTAGCACTTTCAATTGGTAAAATATCTGTTGGTCAGGAGTGGTTTTTCACACCCCTGACCAACAAAAGTTTTACCCATGAAAGTGTTGTGGAGACATAGCCTAAGGCTTCCTCTAGCCAGCTGGCAAGGGCTCTTCAGGTGTGATCCAAGAGTGGTCTAAAGAGGCATCTCTCCACAGAAACCAAAAGAGGCTATTGCACTTTAATATGGTGAAGTTCCTTTTCTTTCTAAGATCATAACCAGTGTTATGTGCTGTAAAAATAAGCAGATTTCATTTGTGGAGATAGCAATAGTTGAACCAGTACTTACTATAGTGATCATTCCCCAAATGGAAGAGACAGCGATAGGATGTAGCCAGGGCAGTGGATTTAGGGTATATCTAAACTTAAAATGATACAGTGGCACACACAGCTGCACTGTTGGTTCTTCCATCAGTATAGGTAATCTACCTCCCTGAGAGACAGTAACTAGGTTGATGGAAGAATTCTGTCAATCTGGCATGATTTTCCGCAAAAGCACTTTTTGCGGAAAAGCGTCCGTGCCAATCTAGACACGCTTATCCGCAAAAAAGCCCCGATCGCCATTTTTGCAATTGGGGCTTTTTTGCACAAAACAAATCTGAGCTGTCTACACTGGCCCTTTTGCGCAAAAACTTTGCGCAAAAGGGACTTTTGCCCGAATGGGAGCAGCATAGTATTTCCGCAAGAAGCACTGATTTCAGACAGTAGGAAGTCAGTGTTCTTGCAGAAATTCAAGCAGCCAGTGTAGACAGCTGGCAAGTTTTTCCGCAAAAAACTTGCCAGTCTAGACACAGCCCAGGGGTTAGTTTAGCTTAACTATACTGCTTTAGGGGTATGGATTTTTTTCACACCACTAAGTGTCAAGTATAGGCCAGATTTTGATCTCTCAGGTGGAAGGACCCAGCTGGCATTGCTTCACACTATGAGCTGGGATGGGGTGAAGAGGGAGAACCTCAGACCCTTTACTATACTTCCTTAATGATTGAGATACACCTCTGTCAGGGAAGCCACAAGATAGACATGCCAACTGCTTGGATGCCTGGTCCTCAGTGCACTTCATTACATTCACCATGGTGCTTAAAAGAACTAAATATCTTGATGGAATCCTCTTTTAAACATTCAGTCATAAGTGGGGAAGAATTTAACCTCCCCTAAATCAATTATTCTGTAAAAAGGGCACTAGAAAAAAAAAATCATATCCCAGAAAAACTTGCAGATTGTATTGTAATCAACAACACACATAATATACTGTGTGACACTTGAAATGCAGATGGTTTTATGGAGCTGCTTTCCTAGGGTCTTCAATAGCCGTTCTGTACACATAAAGCAGTCATTGTGAGTCATGGGTGATCTGCCACCTATCTTCTGCCCTGTGCTGGAAGCCTGAAATCAATGACGTGACATTTACTTACTACTTATACTGGAACAAGCCCTTCATATTACGTTACTTACATTTTTCCTAATAAAGTTAAACCAAAGGAACAGAAGAACTGAAATAACTACTTAGGCATTCAGAAAAGGCTTGATATGTTCATCAGCTAACACTGAGTAGAAAATGGAACAAAAAATACCCATAATCCGATACATTCTTCTGTTTTTAAATGTAAGAAGATATTAAATGCTTCACATGAACATGGCATACATATGTTTAAAAAAAAACCAAACAAACACCAAATGGGCTTTGGCCAGGGGTGGGAAAACTAGGATATTTCGTATTAGATTGCCCCACCCTTTACTTAGTGTAGATTTGACTGGATGCTTTCAATCTTAAATTCTTTGCATATATCAGGGGTTCTCAAATTTGTGATATTGCGACCTGCTAAAATGCTAATGAATTTGTGTGACCCCCCCCACCTTCACTGCTCCAAAGGGGAGGGGGGGTGGAGTGGGGAGCCAAAGTTGTTAAGCAAAAGTTGCACCACTTTGTCCAGTTTGGGATTGCACACTAACCGCCAATGCACTCACCCCTCCCCCTGAACCATGCCACCCAATCTCGCCATCCCAATGCCTCAGAGCCTCACCCTTGCCTGAGAGCCAGGCCCCTCTAGCATTCCCCCATCCCAGTGCACTCCCCCTGAGGCAGGCATCCTCAGCCTCAGGAGCCCCACTCCAATCAAATCTCCCTCCTCCCCCCCACAGAGCCTGGCACAGAGGAACAATCTTACTTTTAAAGTGGCTGCTTCTGCCACCTGGCCCGGCTGCCTCAGCTCGCAGCTTGTAGGGGAGGCATCACATGGCTAGCTAAAACCAAACAAACACCAAATGGGCTTTGGCCAGGGGTGGGAAAACTAGGATATTTCGTATTAGATTGCCCCACCCTTTACTTAGTGTAGATTTGACTGGATGCTTTCAATCTTAAATTCTTTGCATATATCAGGGGTTCTCAAATTTGTGATATTGCGACCTGCTAAAATGCTAATGAATTTGTGTGACCCCCCCCCACCTTCACTGCTCCAAAGGGGAGGGGGGGTGGAGTGGGGAGCCAAAGTTGTTAAGCAAAAGTTGCACCACTTTGTCCAGTTTGGGATTGCACACTAACCGCCAATGCACTCACCCCTCCCCCTGAACCATGCCACCCAATCTCGCCATCCCAATGCCTCAGAGCCTCACCCTTGCCTGAGAGCCAGGCCCCTCTAGCATTCCCCCATCCCAGTGCACTCCCCCTGAGGCAGGCATCCTCAGCCTCAGGAGCCCCACTCCAATCAAATCTCCCTCCTCCCCCCCACAGAGCCTGGCACAGAGGAACAATCTTACTTTTAAAGTGGCTGCTTCTGCCACCTGGCCCGGCTGCCTCAGCTCGCAGCTTGTAGGGGAGGCATCACATGGCTAGCTGCGCACGCTCTGCTCCCACCCAGCCTGGTGCCCCCCCTAGCATGGCGCCCGGCAACAGCCCTCTCATGCCCCCCCCCTTCGCTAGGCTCTGCAGCACTCCTCACTCCCCTACCCCGCCAGACGCAGCAGGGATCCAGGTGAAAACCAGACACCTGGCAACCAAGATGATGAGGAGAGACAAATTTTTGCATTAAAAAAATTGATCCAGCTGTGATCCCCCTGTAAGTTGCTCGCGACCCCCCTGGTGGTCATGACCCACAGTTTGAGAAACACTGGCATATATGTTTTGAAAGTTCTCACAGAAACTGCTTGTTTTGTTCAATGCAAAAAGTATTTTTTCAGATTTTTTTCTACTTTCTAACCCATTCATTTGTTGTTTGTGAATTATAGAATACTTCCTGGTGGTACTTTTCCTACTATTAAATCCTCTCATGCCTAAGACCAGTAGAAATTGACAGCAAGTTTACCAAATTTACTAAAATTTTTGCCCTGCATTTTCCAGATTTTTGGGAAAATCCACTGGATTCATAAAAGAAAATTCATACCAAATTATGTTTGTCTAATTTGAATAATGTGAAATAAAACTGTCATCCAGTCTTGTTTTCAATTTCTTGTCCCCAAAACTCATGAGCCCCTCCTTTCCCCCATCAGACCTTTTCTCTGTCCATGACCCTCTGCCCTTCCAAACCTCTATACTAAGGACAAAAATTATATTGTAGACATAATACTCAATTTTTGTTAAAACAAACTCTTATGCATTTTCATATATACCGCCCATACTTGGTAAGCATCATAGCTGGATGTTTCTATTAGTATATTTCACAATGGTTATTCACCAAGGGTATGTCTAGACTACAGGGTTTTGTCGACAGAAGTTTTGTCGACAGATACTGTTGACAAAGCTTCTGTCGACAAAGAGTGTCTACACTACATTCAGTTCTGTCGACAAAGCAAGCTGCTTTGTCAACATGGCAGTGTAGACACAAGGACAGTTTACATGCAATAACACCTTCTGTCGACAGAACTCTGTCGACAGAAGGGATTTTTAAGAGTAAGAGGTTTTGTTTTTAAAGCAGGGGTGAGGAACCTAATACCCCAGCTCACGTGAGTGTGGCCCTCGAGACTCAAGGTTCCCACACTAACGCTCTAGCTCCCCTCCAGATTGGTGATAGAAATGTAGCCGTGTTAGCCTGGGGTAGTTGAAGCAAAATGCAGGACAATGTAGCACTTTAAAGACTAACAAGATGGTTTATTAGATGATGAGCTTTCGTGGGCCAGACCCACTTCCTCAGATCAAATAGTGGAAGAAAGTAGTCACAACCATATATACCAAAGGATACAATTTAAAAAAAATGAACAAATATGAAAAGGACAAATCACATTGCAGAACAGAAGGGGGATGCGGGGGGGTGGGAAGGGGGAGGAAGGAAGGTAAGTGTCTGTGAATTGCTGATATTAAAGGTAGGGAGAGTGGGATGTTTGTGAGTTAATGGTATTACAGGTGATAATTGGGGAAACTGTCTTGATAATGGGTGAGAAAGTTCAAAGACTTGTTAAGTCCCTGGTGGTAAGTGTCGAATTTTAACATGAATGACAGTTCAGAGGATTCCCTTTCAAGTGCAGATGTAAAAGGTCTTTGTAGCAGAATGCAGGTGGCTAAGTCATTTAGAGAGTGTCCTTTCTGGTTAAAGTGGCAAGAAACTGTTTTCTCTTTGTGATCTTGTCTGATATCTGTTTTGTGGGCATTAATCCTTTGGCGAAGTGTCTGAGATGTTTGTCCAATGTACATAGCAGACGGACACTTTCGGCACATGATAGCGTAGATTATATTTCTGGATGCGCAGGAATATGTGTTCTTGATCTTATAACTCACTTGGTTAGGTCCAATAATGGTATCAGCAGAGTGAATATGTGGACAAAGCTGGCAACGGGGTTTGTTGCAAGGGAAGGTACCAGGGTTGGTATTAGTGTGGTATGTCCTGTGGTTGTTGGTAAGAATCATCTTGAGGTTAGGTGGTTGTCTATAAGAGACTATGGCAGAAACAGACTATAGGAGAAACAGGGCAGTTTACAGTTCTTAAAGCTCCAACATACCTAACAGTTAAAAAAATGAATGTTCTGTAGGAAAGAACTCCTATAAGGAGAACCTCCCTTCGCAGAGAGGGTGGAAATTGTGCTATATTGACTTCCAGTGGCTCTACTTATATTGTTTATATACAACAAGCCTAGGAAATCTGATAATTTGTTTAGCTGAATTTTACAATATAAACAGGCTTGGCAGAATTATTTTTTTTTTAATCATTTTGATGGATTTCCTTTTTTTTTTCAATTTTTATTTAAATGTCTACAGTTGTGGGAAGTTGGGGCAGAATTATTTAATAACAATAGATGTTAAGATTCAAGAAGTTAAAGCTTGGTAACTGTTAAGCAAATTGTCAACACTAAATGTCAAAATATATCAAGTAAATCTCTTTAAAACAAACTAACAACTTCTGGAGTATTTTTTGTCGGTCTATTAATTTTATATTTGGTAGTAATATTTTGTCACTTTGTGAAACTGATGTTTACCAACATTTACTGATAAATATCTAATCCTAATAGAATATAAATATTTCTTACCAAGAATCTCCTGGATTATTTTTTTTCCAGAAGATGCACCTGGGTTTTTTTGGTTCTCTCTGGAATTCCAGCACAGGGCTCCACAGCAGGCCCTTTAAAAGACCAAAACTGTATCTCAATATTTTTTACATTAAATGAATTATTGCAAAATACACACATACATATAGCTTTGCCTAGGTTATACCTCCAATAATCATTAATTTAACTTTTTTTTTAAATCCCCTTTAAAAAATGTATTGCTACATATAACTGAGTAATTGATTGCCCAATGGATGTGAACAGGTTTGTTAAGTGGAATGGTATTTAAAGTGAACAGCTTTAGAAAAGTGGTGTTGGTTGCTAGCAAGAGTCTGATAAGAGGTGGAACCATGAAAGAAACTTACCATGCTCAACAATGGACTAGATAACAAATAGCACCTGGTTTCCAACTTCCCATCATGCTCCTAAAAATACTGACTGCCAAATTCAGTGTATTTGGTGTGTTTAAGGGTTTGTATGGGAAGATTGCCATAGCCTTCATGTTGTTATTACTAATTTATTGTCTCATGCACCTCTATGCTTCAGATAAATTACTGTCAAAATCAAATAAAAAGAAAACCCAGTGTACAAGAATGAACAAGGTATAAAGTCTACTGTGACAACAGACTAAAAACTGGGGTATCCCTTGTGGCCAAAAGATTACACACCACACAGATTACATGCCATCTGACAGAGCATGATAATATGGTGTCAGATATCAGTAATACTTGGCACTTCATAGCACCTTTCATTGAAGGATCTCAAAAGGCACAAGGATAATGGGTGCCTTCTTATATTTAGAGAAATGCTCCTCTTTAAACATGCATTATAAAAGATCTCAGACTGAATTATAAGGAAAAGATTCCAGCTTTTTTAGGCCAATAATGTGCAATTGCAATTTATGTAAGAAATGAACAGCAGATATGTAAGTACAGCTGATCTGTTGGAGTTATAGTGACACCAAGTGGCAAGGGAAACTAATCTAATTTCTACTCCATTCCTTCAATAAGACCCACTATAACTAACAGACCCTCTATTACTAAGCTGTATTTTTATTTCACATTAATATTAAACCTACATCATGAGAAGATAGTTTGACCCAACATATTTCAAATTGCTGCCATTTACAAAATAACTATTATAGTATATAGAGAATAATAATGATGCAATACCCTTCTCATTATTCTTCTCCTTCTCTTGCTTCTAGTCACAACCTGGTTCTTTGAGAGCATAAAAAAGATCTTGCAGCCTTACTGAATTCTTCATATACCAAAATCCTTCAGTGCCATTAGTCTTACCTCCCAATAACAGCACTGAAATGCTAAAAACCAAATCTTTTCCTCAGGGGCTACCACTGAAACTCCCTGCCCTGCTAGGTGGCCTTGGGCAAAACACTTAGCTTCTCTACTTCTGTTTTCTGACCTTGCACCTCCCAGGATTATTGTGAGGATTCCATTAGTTTTTGTGCAGCACTCTGAAGATGTGACCAGCTAATTATTAATAGTTCTTTGTGCCTGTCCTTTGGGGAGAGAGGGAGAGAATAGCTCCTCCTGCTCATGACTGAATTAAGCTGAAATTTAAATGTGTTCATTTATCAACTTCTACAAGTACAAATAAGACCTCCCCATCCTAGTGTACAAGCAAACCATATTTTCTTTGCCAGCCTGTGACACACTCATGTGATCCAATTACAAACATTGTTCTATTTTGCCCAGACGGCTGCAGTGTGTTAAAAAAGCTATACAGATACATTTTGTACAGCCACACCTATCAAGCTGCCCAACTGACTGTTGTAGTGCATTCTAGGAAAAGTCTCAGTCACTATTCCATAGTGCCTCAGCAGGCGTTACAATGCCTGAATGATTGCTACACAGAATGTCACCAAACTGCACAGGAGCCAATGCATTTTGGCATGTGCTTTCACAGACAGGGTCTGATCCTATAAATTCCAGTACATCCTCAAAATCCATCGAATTCAATGAAAGTTGAAAGTGCCTCATGAGCTGCTCAGCACCTTGCATATCAGGCCCTGACTGCACAGAAGGTGATGACTGGTTACAAAAGACTGTAACTAGTCTATGCTGCTGGCAGGAGGTAATTTGTTAATTTTCAGGATTACTAAAATAATGGTAACCATCTAGTCCAGGGACACAAACCACTATTAGAGACAGCCAGGTCACTGACTGAGTACAAAACTGGTTAAAATGGGTAGTTTGAGCAGTACAGGTTAAACCTCTCTAGTCTAGCAGTCTTGGGACCTGTCCAGCACCAAAGCAGACAATTTGCCAGACCACGAGAAGTCAATATTGTCTAGCAGCATTAGCAACACTTCCACAGCTTACTGGGCTCTTAGAAGACATTTAGGGGTAAATTAGAGCTAAACAATAGCACAGAACACTGAAAGCTAGTACCGGTGACTGCAAACAAACTTTATGGGACTGCAGAAAACTTGGCGACACTCATGATAAGTGGACATCAGGCTAACTAAAATCATGCCGGACCAGATAGTGCTGGACCAGAACGGTTCAACCTGTAGCTCTTCCTGATGCCCAGTTGCAGAGAAATAATGGCCTTGAGTGCAAGTATTTTTCAGTGTTCACTCAGCAAACTGACCAACTGCTTACCTATACTGGTGGCTTCTTGGGCTCTGTTCTGCAGCAGTGATTCCACAGCACTTGTTAAGGTTGGTTCTCTCCTTTTAGTCATTTGTTGCTTGCCCTAGTGAGAGAACACACAGCACAGTTTCATGACAAAATTAACCAGGACTCAACTCCAACAGAGATTTCATTGAAGTGTTGAGAGCAGTCTATTTTCTTAATTCCCTCAGAGATGGTAGCAAGTGGCCAAGGCAGAGGGAAAGGCCAGCAGAAACTGGCTTCTTCCCCAAAGCATTGTTCTCTCATGCAATCTAAGACAGCCAAGCCACTCTAAGGAGCAGTCCTTCACTGACACATGAAGATTTCCCCTCCTCAGGCTATTTCTAGACTACAGAGTTTTGTCAGAAAAACGGCCATTTTTCCGACAAAACTTGAGTTACGTCCACACTGCAAGCACGTTCTTTTGATGATAAATCGAAAGAACAGAGGACTTTTTGCGCAATTGGTAATCCTCATTCTACGAGGAAGAAGCTTTTTGCGGGGAAGACGGAGTTTTTTCAGAAGAAGAGGGAAGAGGAAAAAGCACAGGTGCCCAGGTGGCCATCCTGTCCATAGCAAATCACTGCTTACATGCGAGATAGAGTCCAGACAGTCTGGACACTATCTTTTGAAAAAGCGCTTTTTCGATCACTTTTGCAGTGTGGATGCGCTCTTCTGAAAAAAAACTTCTTGCGCAAGAAGCCTATAGTCTAGATGTAGCCTCGGTGACACCTTTTGAGACAACCAGTCCTCTAATAACTCCATTAGAGGCCCATCATCTGAACTGTAGAGTTTTTAAGCTTTTTGGTGGTACATAAAGGGTTTCATTTTAGTTTTTTTCCTTCATTTTAGAATTTATCTTTCTTGATATCAAAATCTGATCCTCCTCTAAATTCAAATACTTAAAGGAAAATTAACTGGTGAGCATAACAACAAGATTTGACTTTGAGTCTGTATCTAGTAAACAGCAATCAGTCACTTATTTACCCGTTTCTATTAAGAAACAGTTTATGTTTTAATAACATCTTTCAGTAGAAGTTATATAAACATTTAAATAAACAACAACACAGAAGATTAACCCCACTTCAGTGGCTACCAAAGGACTGTAGCCTTTGGTATGTCCCCTAGCATAGTATAGCATACTCTGTATCCATCACTGAAGCTTTATTAGTTTCCAACACTCTGCATTAGAGAAGAAGCTATTTTCTTCTTCGGGTTTGCCACCATACTTTTCTATAACTTCTTGGAGATAGAGGGACATTTGCTTGAAGCACCTTCTGTTGTATTTAATTAAAAAAAAAAACACAAAAAAATGCATGTTCCGCTGTAGTTTAAGGCTACATATGAATGTGGAGCTTCCCCCCTACACCACAACCCCTTATCTGGTGAGTTTCTGCAAGACAACACAAGGCAAACGTGTTACTTACTGGGGCCTGTTTCGTTCCTTTCTGGCCTGGTGCAAATACACGTCGCGTAGATTGTTCTTTGCAAAAACTGATGTGCCTCTCCGCTGCAGCTTCATTAAATCTTCTCAAGCAGTAAGGACACTGAATATAATCTGATAACAGCAAAGGAATAGATCTGATTGAATCAATAGTTCTTAAGGTACTGAGAGAAAACGGACTACCTCTTTGGGACTCAGGATACCAGAGTTCAATTCCCAGTTTTGCCTGTCCTGCTAGGTGACTATGGGCAAGTCATTTCCCCCTCTCATTGTGCCTCAGTTTCCCCATTAATGCTAAGCAGTGCCCTTTGCAAAATTCTATACACCTCGGCCACTGTGTTAATTTGATCTGTTTGTTGTAGAGATGAAGACTGGCAAAGCAGTTGGCAAAGCATTGAAATCCTTGTTGATGCACAGAACTTGGTCTAAAGCCCACTGAAATGGGAGTTGCTCTCCCTTTTGACACTGCACTACAAATCTTTCTTCTGCATTCACTGAATACAACTGGAGTTCCACATATTGAATTAATATAAAATGGGCAAGAAAGTGCAACATGGAGGATGGGAGAGTAGATTTCTTCACATAAAAGTGGGGGATTATATTATGCTCAGCTTTTTAAAAAAACTAAATGGAGTAAACAATTCTAGAAAAACAACAACAACAACAAATGGCAATGTGATTAACCAAAAGGATTACTTTGCTATATACTGAAGTGTCAACCAATTTACCTGGTACTGAAGTTAGCTGTAAGTGCCAGAATTGCCTCCAGAGCCTTTTTAAAAAAAATCAGCATTACATTTGCTATCCTCCAGGCATCTGGTACCAAGGTACATGAGTTAATACAGTTTAAATTAAAGGGAAAGATAAACAAAAGTAGGTCTGCAACAATGATCACTGATTGCAAAAGGAAAACTTAAGGGAATTAGTTAGGGAAGTGACTAGCACTGAAGAACTCAGAGGTGAATGTTGAGGAACCTTGGAAACATTTTAAGTCAAAGTTGCACAACCTATGTGAAGCCTGCAATACTAGATGATGGGGGAGGGGAGGGGAGAGAGGGGAGGGAGAACCTCATGGGGAAGAGCTGGTAAGACCTGAACAAGCATCTCAAACAAGTTATTTAAACTTTATATCTATAATTCATATAGACAGATGTGTGATGCTCATCTGAGGAAGTGGGTTTTGTCCATGAAAGTGCATAATTTTATATAAATAAAAGAGAGGGAGAGAGGGAGGGGGGAAGAGAGAGAGAGAGAATATCATCCTTGTGGCTACCCCTCAGAGGCACGCTGCATCTTGGAAGTCAGAAAATGTAGGGATAAAGTGAAAAACCAAACTGAGTTGGATCTGACAAGGAAATTAAAACCTATAATGAAAGATTATTTAGCCATATAACTAAAAAGAAAACAAGGAAAGAACAAGTAGGACTACGAAGCATTGAGGATGAGCTGGCAGTTATACAATTTTAGGTAGAGCCCAACACCTAAACAAACACTTTGCCTCAAGATTATATAATGAGGACCGAGGGAAGAATGGGCAAGGTAGCCATTGATAGCAAGGATACAGAAGCAGAAGTTACCATATCCAAAGTGAAAGGAAATCTCAAAATAGCACACTGAGACCGAATTGGGGGCACCAGCTAACCTATCTCCTAGAACTGGAAGGGACCTTGAAAGGTCATGGAGTCCAGTCCCCTGCCTTCACAGCAGGACCAAGTACCATTCCTGACAAATTTTTGCCCCAAATTCCTAAATGGCCTCCGCAAGGCCATTCCCCACTCTGGCACTTCACTATTCCCCACTCTGGCACTTCAAGTGTGGGCCTGCAAGAGCCTTTATAATTCCCTGCCACTAAAGGCATCTGCTTAAAAAAACTCCCCAAGCTCACAGATTCCCTGACCTTGGGTGGTGCACAGGTGACATCCAAACACCCCTTGACAGCCCAGGAAAACACACTTGGGAATTTCTTTCTGTGGGGTAACCCTAAGCTCTTTAGCCCTTCTTCAGGAGAAAGCTTGAGAACAAACTGTAATTTCTTAATAACTAACCTTCAGTCTCAGACATGTGCACACAGAACCTCCTGCCTTCTAGGACACAGGAATCAGATCATAGTCTTAAAAAGTTGGTTTTATTAATAAAACAATGAGGATATAATTGGAGAGCAACTAAAAAAAAATAACACAAAGATAATTGCTTCCCTGGGATTCAGTTTCAGTTATAGTGTACGGAGGGAGAGGGGCACATGGGCTCAGCACAGAGGAGTTTTATCATACCCCAAAATAAAGAAAATAACCTGATCACATCTAATTAAACATTCCCTGTTCTACTCGCATCTGATGTTCTAAGGTTCAGTCCTTTCTAGATATGGATATTGCTGAAAATTCCATGCCCGGTTCACTAGGCTTACTTCATTTCTTCCCCCAGCTCTTGCTCTGAACTCACACAAAAGACTGAAGCATCTCATTTAAATCTCTCAATCTTTTCCTATTGGCTCTCCTGGCTCCCTGCCAACACTACCTGGATATCCACTGTTTTGAGTTTAACCCTTCACAGATCCTTTCATCTGAGATCTACTTGATGCTTCATGAAGAGGAAATTTAAGTCATAAGACTGAGATTTCCAGTCATACCTGGATCACCCCGAGTATAGACATTGGATTATAACCAATGGATTAATCCTAAAATAACTCATTTCAGCTACAAAGCTTACCCTCTTACTATGAATCTGATCTCAGAACTGGACCCATGTCTGTGTGTATACTGATCTTTATCCAATACACACACACACACACACACACACACACTTCTTTTTTAATAAATTTCAGTGTAAGAGTAAGTGTGTATTTGGGTAAGCTCTGAAACATGCATTAACCTAGGTGATGTGTCTGATCCTTTGGGATTGGTAGAATTTTCTTATATGATGAATAAGGTTTTCAGTAATCCTCATATTTGACTTGGCTGTCTGAGTGGAAGCCTCAGGCTGGATTGCTTTAAGGGAACTGAGTTGTTGACTTCTGGGTAACCAGTAAGGTACTATACAAGAAGTTTTGTGCTGGCTTGGTAAATCTAAGCATTGGAATATCCACTAGCTTTAAGGACTGTCTGCCCCATTTTTTGAGGTTTGTCCTGACTGAGTAATCTGAGAGTAGCTCCCCTGGAACATTAGTCACATATATTTAAGAAATGGAGAAAATGTGATTTGGGAAGTTACAAGACCATTTGATCTGAATTGTATACCAAGTCTTAGAACAAATTAAAAGAACAATAAAGGCAATAAAATACAACATGGTATTACAAAAGGTATTCCAACCTCTAGGTTGAGAAGAGGGTGGGCAAGAGGCTGCCAGCAGGCTAGATCCAGCCCACCAAGTCACCAGATTCGGAATCCTTAGGCAGCTAACACTTTAAAAAGCCAGCTGTTCTCTGTTCTGGATAGCTGGGGTGGGAGGAGGGAGACTTCTTATGTGTTCCCACTCCCCAGAGAAATCTCTTCGCTCCCATTGGCCAATCGCTCCATTTCTGGCATTCTCATGTGTTCCCACTCCCCAGCGAAATCTCTTAGCTCCCATTGGCCAATCGCTCCATTTCTGGCCAATAGGAGCTGAACATTTTTGCCGGGAGCAGGGGCAGTGTAAGAAGCCTTCTCCCTCCCTTCTGTCATGCCCAGAGCGGAGCCACGTGGAGCAGCCTGTAGCAGACAGTCTGCCTCAGATTTCTGCTGGTAAGTGCTTTCAAGCCAAAGCCTGCCTCTAGCACCCCAGCTCCTCCCTTCTCCAAACCTCTGCCCCCTCTTACATCCATACCCCCTTCCAGATCTGGCACCCCAATTTCCTGCCCCAGATTTACAATCCCCTCCTAACCTAGGTCACATCCCAAATCCTGCATCCCAGTCCCCTGCCCTAGGTCACAACTGCCTCCTTCACCCAAACTCCGTCCCAGACTCGATTCTCCCTCCTGCATCCCAATCCCTTATCCCAAGCTCCCTTTTGCACCCAACCTCCATCCCACATCCAGGAATTTTTCCATTAATATCCTGGAAGAGTGATGCCCTTGACTACTTTCCAAAATCCTGGAGTGGACCCCTGCCAAAAATTATTGCCCACCCCTGTTCTAGACAAAGGAAATACAGCAGATGGGAATTAATGTAATACTTGAAAGGTGGAAAGAGACTGGTTAAGAGGAGAGACTACAATGAGTCATACAGAAAGGTGAACTGTCAGGCTAAGGAGAGGTCACTAATGGAGTTCCTCAAGGATCAGTCTTGGGACCAATCTTATTATTTAACATTTTCATTAATGACTGGCCCAAAATGTAGCAATGTGCTAATAAAACTGATGGATGACACACTGACTGGGAGATATTGCCAATATACAGGAGGACTAGAATATCATACAAGGAAACCTGGATGACCCTGAAAACTGGAGTAATAGAAATGGAATGACATTTAATAGTGCAACAAATAAGGTAGGGATTAACAAGAGTTTTTCTACTAGCTGAAAATTTACCAGTTGGAAGCAACAGAAGAGGAAACTGGGTGTTTTGGTCCATCACAGACGACTAAAAGCTGCCAATGTGAAGTGGTCATGAAAAACAACGAAAGAAATCCTATGATGCATTAAGTAAGATATTTTTAGTAGAGACAGAAAAGTATTACCACTGTACAAGGCACTGGTAAGAGCTCATCTGGAATAGTTATGCACAATTCTTGTCTCTCTTGCTTATGAAAGATAAATTAAAACAGGTCTGCCCCTAACCTTTGCTCCCAGCCCTGTCTGGGTCCCCCCCTCCCAGAGACTTGGCCCTGCTCTAGGCCACAATGAAGAGATGTAGAGGTTTGGAGGAAGGTAGAGGGCGGAGCAGGAGAAGAGCCTGGGCTTACAGTGGATAGAGAGATTGTCCCAGGCCCCACACCCTCCAGGGATAGCCCTCCCAAGGGCTATGGGTGGCCTGGGGAGGTTTTACATGGGGGTTTGGTCACATGCCCAGCGGTCCTTGTGTCCTCCTGCAATTTTCTCTGTCTACCTTACAAGAGGAGATTTAAGGAGTTGCTTTATTTAGTTTAAATAAATGAAGGCTTACAGGAAACATAATTCCTCTCTCTAAGTACATCAGATGGGTAAACACCAAAGAGGGTAAGTACTTGAGACCCAATGTGGGTACAGGAACAAATGGATATCAACAAATTAAGGCTTGAAATTAGATGAAAGTTTTTACCATCAGAGAAGCAAAGTCCTGGAAAAGCCTTCCAAATGGAGTAGTAGGGAGAAATTATCTAACTTGTTTAATGATTGAGCAGATAAGTTTATGGAGGGACAGTAGGATGAGTTTTCCTAAAATGGCATATGGCCCATCTATGCCTGGCATTAGCAAATATCTCCAGCCAGAGATGGGACACTAGATGGAGACGGTCTCGGAGTTGCTAAAATAATTATTTCCCAGCCTTCTGGCTGGTGGGTCCTACCCAGATGCTTAGACTCTAAGGGTATGTCTACACTAGCCCCCTATTGTGAACTAGGGAGGCTAATGCAGGCATTCGAAGTTGCAAATGAAGCCCGGGATTTAAATATCCCGGGCTTTATTTGCATCTTCCCGTCCAGGCGCCATTTTTAAATCCCCTTAGTCTGGAATAACTGCCCGCGGCTACACGCGGCAGTCAAATGTTAACTTGAACTAACTCCTTAGTTCAAGTTAACTGTTACCTCGGGTGTAACAGTTAACTCAAACTAAAGACTTAGTTTGAGTTAACATTTGACTGCCGCGTGTAGCCGCGGGCAGTTATTCCAGACTAAGGGGATTTAAAAATGGCGCCTGGACGGGAAGATGCAAATAAAGCCCGGGATATTTAAATCCCGGGCTTCATTTGCAACTTTGAATGCCTGCATTAGCCTCCCTAGTTTGAGCTAAGGGGCTAGGGTAGACATACCCTAAGTGATCAACATATTTAAGGTCAGAAAGGAATCCCCTCCTGCCACTGACAGACAGATTGGAGAAGACTGTGGTGGGTTTTTGCCTTCCTTTGCAGCATGAGTCATGGGTCACTTACTGGTTAGGATTTGAGGACCTCAATGACTCAAGCCAGGGTTTATGGGCTTGTTTCAGGAGTGGGTGAAGTTCTGTGGCCTGGTGATGTGCAGGCAGACTAGATGATCATGATGGCCCTTTCTGGCCCTAAAGTCTATGAGAAGCAAGAGGCTCAGCTTTCAAATGTGCTGAGCGTCCACACACTCCCGCACTGATTTCTGAAAATCTAAAGGGTAAAATTCATCCCGGTGCCGAGGGTCAGTTTGAAGCCTATGCCTGACTTACAGTTTATTCCACGTATAAGGGGTGATTTTCACCCTTTATTAGTCAGTGGCAGAGTCAGGACTACAACCCAAGCATCCCAACTCACACCTCAGAATTCCTGCTACTAAACTGATGAGTTACTACCATTAAAGCTGAAAGATCCAATTATTTTTCTTCCTCTACAGTCTATCTATGTTGCTGCACCTCTCCCTGATGTTACTACTCGCTAAATTTAGAAACTGCCTTGAGCTGCTCCTAGGGCAGCCACTAATTCATGCTCAGCTCCACCACTACATTTTAAAAACAACCAGGAATGTTGGGCATTAATGTTCATCTCAGATTGCACAGAATGGAGTAAAGCTGAAGCTCACCTGTGAAGAACAGGAGCTCATGGTTTTACCAAATATAAGAAAGCACAAAATCATCAGCAGGTGAAATTGAACAAACCTGGATTGATGCTTGGAGGTGGAGGAGGAGGAAGGGGACGGCCCTCTTTCATGGCTTTTGTGACTTGCTTGGCTGACTGAATAGCATTAATGAAGTCCTCATGCAGCTGTCTCCAGTTAGATTTCTTTTCTGGTTTATTCTGTAAAGGAAACATAGGGCAACAAACTCTACATACCTCTCTTACAGTAATAAAGACTGTCTGAGAGGTCTTTTCTAAATTGAATTTCCAGGAGGAAGAAGAAATATTAAAAAAAAAAACAGAACAAAGCTTAGTAAGACTCAGGAAAATGGATTTGACCTATATCCCTACCCCATCCTCACAAATTAAGCAATGCTCCAAGGGACCAATAAAAGAATAATGCTGCATAACAAGACATTTTGGTCACAGAGGATTATAGATTATACTAGTTTATAGACTAACATGGCTACTCCTCTGAGAGTAGCTGAAATATGACAGTTAGTATGACAACCCCTTCTCAGCTCTTCCCTTTTGAGCTCTTCTTGAATATTTTTGCCTCTTCCCCCATCGAACCATCAGTCAAAGTCTGAAGTTGGATTCTCCACAGCCTGCTGTTGTTACTAGATCATCATCATCAGCAAACAACTATAATGGTATCTGTGAGACAAGTGGGCCCGCGCATTTCCCTACTACGACTCATGAAATTTACATGCCCCTTCCGGAAAAGGGGCCAGTGTAGACGAGCCCGTGCTGTGTGTGTGAGCATGTGCATGTATATTCACACACCTTCCCTCCATTTCTGCTCCAAGTGGAGCTGCCTTACTTCTTAAACCCGATGGCTACCACAGCAATACAGATAATCTTCCTTGAATAAAGGAAGGAACATTTGCTCATGTTTGTATTTAATAACAGTGAAACTCTGCAGCTTTGTCTTTAGGACTTACAGGCCATTCCTGCATCAGATCATTGTCCTGCCATCACCTCCTCTCACTGACCTAACTAGACAGGAAGCTGGCAGAAGCTTGTATGTTATTCATATGGTTGTTTGGTTGTTTTAAGGAAGACCTCTATAAGAACTGAGGCCTCAGTGTATTCCTAAGGGTTTCACTGTACACCGGGACAGCTCTTGTACCATGAAGAAGCCTCAATTAGAGGCAACAAGCCACTTATGAGTACACATAAAGTACAAAGGCTAGGGCTGGGGCCAAGGGAAGTCAAGAACTGAGGCAGACCCATAGTCAAGTTAACAGCATTTCCCAAGATAGAATGCCACCGAAAGTGAAGAACCCTAAGCTCATTCATCGCTGGAGTAAACAACGTTCATTGACCAAAGCTATTAGAACGAAGGCAACACGCCTGCTACCCTTTCAACAATACCTTTGGTGGTAGCTGTTTCTTCACTGAGGGAATTTCAGTTCCCTGCAGTCTCTGTTTCAAAGAATTGAAAGGCCTGCGCTTCTTGTTGAAGACTTTCCTGCATATTGTCTCATGCTTTAACTAGGATGAAAAGAAAAACAAAATCTTATGGTAAAGACCTTGCATTCTGCTCATCATGGGTGGTGGGTAGGTACTATAGGCAGGGGAAGGCAAACTGCCTAACAGGGCCCTGCACATGCCCCACCAGAGTCCAACAGGTTCCCTTTCCCAGACTGCTGTTGCAGAACCACAGAGGTTAGGGCAGGCAGGCTGGGGGCTATGTTGTCTGTTCCCGTGGTGCTGGGGCCACTCAGCACTAGGGCTTGGCTGTAGGGTGGGGAGGCCTTGTTGGTTAGGGGTCTGGTTGGCTGGCATAGCCTGAGGAGGCTGGGGCGACAACTCCTGGTTCTCCTCTTTGGCACTCTGGGGCCATGCCTCCCATCAGCTGTTTGTAGCAGGCTAGGGCAGTGCTATCCCAGTCTCTGGGTGCTACCCCTGGAGCAGATGCCAGCAGCAGCCACCAGGGGGAAGGCTTGCCTCCCCAAGCCATGGGGTCACTCATCCTTGCTGCTTCTGTCAGAGTTATAATTATTTCTGTCATACTCCGGAATATTGCTAGATGAGAGACTGTTGCACAAATAATCTACACTGCAGGGCATTACTGTGAATACTGATCAGGTCAGTCTCTTTCACATAATCAAAGTTCCTTTCAACATCTATGTTTAACTCACTGGCATTTACTGCTCCTTCCCACACCCCCAATCTGATACTTCATTATATGCATTTACAAAAAAAAAAAATAGCCTTTGTTTTATTACCAGAACATCTTGTGCAAAATGTCTTCCACAGGTTTCACAAGCTAGCAAATCTTGACTTGTGGCAGCTGTATAAAATCCAACATATCAAACTATTAGTAACACAGAATTTCTTAAACTCTCTCTCAATGGTAACAGCAAGCCATATGATTTCTGGAACTGATCATTTTGCTGTAAGAAAGGGCCTTTTATATAGTTACTGGTGGATTTAATTTTTCCCCCTTTTGTGAATTTTTCACCTCAGAGGTGGGGAGGATTTCATTTTTTCCCCCCTTTTGTGAATTTTTCACCTCAGAGGTGGGGTAAATTCCTGATCCTACAGGCCTCCCATTTCCTGTTGTCTTATGAAGCAGAGGAGTCAGCTTTTCCATATGACAGCTACTTTCAGATATTTTACAATTTAATGTAGGCAATGTTACAGGTTACCATTCAACTGAATACTTAAGTGGCACATTTAGTTACTAAGATGACAAATGCCTAGGTGGATAAAATTCAAACTTTGGCTCTAAGCCAACTGATCATCTTTTATAGACACTTGTTCTTAATGTCTTACTCTACTATTGAAGGCCGTATCTTTAGTACATCAGGCCCTCTGACACCTTATCCTTCCAGCTGTTGACTTCTTCCCCAGTTCTGCTTCATTCCCACTGTCCCATGGAAGGACAGGTTCATAAGGCCCCCTTCCTCCTGCCCACTTGCCAGCTCTGTTTTACCTCTTCACTGTTATTGACCTATTACTTTTTCTATATTTGTCCCCTGAGAAAGAGTGGTGGGCAGTTTGCATTGTGACTTTTGGGAGATGGTGTGGGAAGTCATGTTTTAAAGCACCAATTGGAAATGGTCTTGACCAGAAAACTATCTTTATTAAACTCGTAGCTGCAACACGCCCTAATCCTTTCTGGTAACTGTGGAAGACTGGGAATGCTATAAACCCTCCACATCTCCCCTTCTTTTATAATAAAGTATTCAGAATGATAAGATAAAGCATACACCCACACACCCCACAATTCAAAATAATCTAATGATTTAAAACTACTTACAGTGCTATGGCTCCTTATAAATTACATTTACATAGTGCTTATTGGGTTTGTGCAAGGAGTTCCCTGTGGAGGTGGATTGAATCCTGGCAAAGTACCTGCAGGCTCCAACTCCTCTTTGTCATCAGGAAATATTGAAGATGAACCTGATTCCTACAGAAAAAGTACTTGTGGAGGTAGGATGTAGGAATTTCTACCAAGTTCTGAACAGTTCCCCAAATGTCTGGGCGTTTTTAAGCCAAACTATATTCTTTTTTGTTGTTTGGGCTGAACATTCAAGTTTTGTTGTTACCAAACTTATTTTGGCATAGCATTTGTAAATTAGTTTTTAAGCCAAACTATGTTCCCTCATTTTAGTACAATAGTATTTTTTTGTTGTTTGGGCTGAACATTCAAGTTTTGTTGTTACCAAACTTATTTTGGCATAGCATTTGTAAATTCCTTCAGGCTGGACCACTTGGATTTAAGCTGAATCAAGTAAAGGATAGTGGAACTGGTATATGCGATTCAGCTCCCCCGTGCCTTCCAACCCACCCTCCCTGTTCCTCTTTAGGGACCCCTCTCAAGCAGCTCCTAGTCCAAGAGGTACTCTCTCACCTACAGTTGGGAACAGTGGAAGAGGTCCTCCCTCCCAACCCCAGTCCAGAGGCAGGGGGTTTTACTCCCATTATTTTCTAATCCCCAAGAAAAAAAAAGAGAGAGGCCTCTGGCCTATTTTAGACCTCCACAACTTGAACAGATTTATAAAGAGGCTGTTTCAGGATATTATCCCTAGCCTCTATCATACCTTCTTTGGATCCGGTAGACTGGTATCTAATCCTCAATTTGAAAGACACTAATTTCCATATTACCATAATTCTCACTGGCATTTTCTTCATTTTGGAGTGGGACAGACGCATTATCCATTCATTGTCCTCCCCTTTGGTTTGTCTGCTGCCCCTTGGGTGTTCACAAAAACGTATGGCTGTTGTAGCAGCCTATTTACAGTGGAGAGGTGTCCAAGTGTATCCCTGCTTGGACAACTGGCTCATCAGGACAGTCTGCAAGCTCAAGTAGAAAATTATGTGCACTTGGTGCAGTCAATCTTTCACAGGCTAGGCCTCATCCTGAACTTGGTAAAAGTGAACTCTAATTCCATGTCAAAAGATAAGAGTTTATAAGGGCTCAGTTGGACTCCATACAGGTCAGAGCCTCTCTTCCTCAAGCACACTTCCTAACAATAAGGCTATGTCTATATTGCATGCTTCTTGCACAAGACCTGTTTTTAGATCTAGACTGCAGGGTTTTTTTCGGAAAAAAACTGCTTATTTTCCACTATTTTTTTCCCCCAGAAGAGGCTTTTCTGAAATTTGGCCCATATACATGTGGCCAAACTTAAGAAAAAACTCCTCTGTCAGAACATCCCTTACTCCTCTCACCGAGAGGAATACAGGGATGCTGAAAGAACACACCTGCTTTTTTTGGAAACTTTTCAGAAAAAACAGATTCCCTGGACATGGCAGAGTTTTTCCGGGATACCAAAGGTATCTCAGAAAAAGTCTGCAGTCTAGACATAACCAGAGACTCTCTTCCTGGATCACAGCCTGTATTAGGGCATAATATGGCCAGGACAAGATTGCAGATCCTCTGCTGACTGCCCACTCACTCCACACGGGCGCAAGCATCCTCTGCTGCGTTCTTGGTGCATGTACCTATCCAAGACACTTGTAGGGTGGTCACTTGGTCTTCCATTCATATGTCCATTTTCCATTATGCTATTCAGGGACAATGCTGGATTCGGAAGAGCAGTGCTTCAGTTAGCAGCTCAGTAATCTCCAACTCCACCAGAAAACCGCTTGGGAGTCACCTGCTTGGAAGGGATATGAGCAATACATCTCGAAGAACAACAGTTTACCCTCCTTTCATAACTGTTGCTCTTCAAGATGTGTTGTTTATGTCCATTCCAATTCCCAGCTACCTTCCCTCTATTGGAATCTTGCGACAGCAAGGAACTGAGTGAGGGGATGGTCAGCAGTGGACTGTATAAAGCGCCATAACAGCCATTCCCTTGGGCTCCTCAGCCAACCAACAACATCTCGAAGAACAACAGTTTACCCTCCTTTCATAACTGTTGCTCTTCAAGATGTGTTGTTTATGTCCATTCCAATTCCCAGCTACCTTCCCTCTATTGGAATCTTGCGACAGCAAGGAACTGAGTGAGGGGATGGTCAGCAGTGGACTGTATAAAGCGCCATAACAGCCATTCCCTTGGGCTCCTCAGCCAACCAACAGGTACTGTACTGTTAAGGGGAAAAACCTGACCACCTTGCATGCACATACCAGCCTGAAATGGACATGAGCAAAACATCTGGAAGAACAGTTAGTTACAAAAGGTAACTTTTTTCCCCTTGTTTTTTGTTTCATCTTGCTTAAATGTACCCTAAAAACTCACTCACCCAGCAAAACAATATTGTTTAGGACAATCTGGGTATAGGCACTGTTTGCTAAACACACTAGAAACATTTTTTAGCACACATCTACAGTTGTTTCCATGCTATACCATCACTCAATACTATTAATGACCAGCACGTTACCAGTTTTCATGACACCTTAACATGACATTTAAGATACAAATTACGACATCAGCGAATCCTGGCAACGAATGTATCGCATGGTGTGCCCTCTACCACTTGGCATTAAGGGGCTCTCTCAGACACAGGTCATCCAATGGTTTCTGTGTTAAAATTGAAATCAAGCAGACATGTGAATAACTCAGTGCATACAAGACCAAGGGATTGCGAGAGCTTCCTTTCCCAGTTGAGCATGACACTGCTCAGTTTCTGCAAGTCCTCTTGATATAAATGCAACAAGTCTCATCTCTCTTGGCTGCTTTTGTGTGAGCACTACTCCTAACCCATATGAAGACACTTGACACAATATTCAATAAACTATCCACCAGTGACAGTAGAAGAGGCAGAGATGACAGTATTTCTTTTACACAATTAAATGCATTTTGTTGTGCAGTCCACCAGCTCACATATTTAATAAGTCTCTTAAAAGGTTTTGTTAGAGGAGCTAAAATTGGTAAGAATTTCAAAAAATGATCTGTCATGCCCAGGCATCTTCTTACAGTAGACACATCTTTGAGATGAAGTAAGGTAATGCCTCCAGCTAAATTTCATTTTCTAAGTATTTGCTCTATAAACTTCATCTGCTTCTTTCCAAATTCACATTTCTCATTTACAGTGAGCTTCTCAGAAATCTCTCAACATTACATGTAGCAAAATGCAGGACAATGTAGCACTTTAAAGACTAACAAGATGGTTTATTAGATGATGAGCTTTCGTAGGCCAGACCCACTTCCTCAGATGGGTCTGGCCCACGAAAGCTCATCATCTAATAAACCATCTTGTTAGTCTTTAAAGTGCTACATTGTCCTGCATTTTGCTTCAGCTACCCCAGTCTAACACGGCTACATCTCTATCACTATTCAACATTACATGTAGTCACTCACATCATTTATTTTTATCTCCATCATATACCAACACATCGTCTGCATCACAAATGATACCAGAGAAACCTGATGCAATCTGGGACAGTCTCTTTTTTAAAAGTTTTGGTGTTGAAGACATGCCAAATGGAAAATTATTCAACAATACCTAAATGGGAAGAAGAGTATAGTTATATAGATTCTTTAGCAAGGGGGGCATAGGTTGGGATACCAGCTAACTTTGAGACTTGTGTGTTTGGCTAAATACAGGAATACCTTTCTCTACATATGCTTTTAAAGTTTTATAAGATCCACATGGATTGAGATTTTTGGCTGTGGGTTTTAGTAAACAGTCATCTCCGCATACCAGTCACAAAGGGGTTATTGCTCAGACAAAAGACTTAATTCTTCTATTCTCCACTTCTTCTCTGACTTCCCCTATGCCTGGAGCATGGTAAAGAACAATGTCATTCTGCAATTATATCATAATGGGAGAGTGGAAATGCAATACAATACAGATAGAGTATGTCACTATAGAGATTACAGATCACCAGGAAACAGAAGCTGGCTGTCCATTTTGAGGTTCTGCTTTATTACAATCCTTTTCATTCATAACCCACAAAAAATAATTAGGCTCTTTAATGATGCAGTGACCCTGCCAACTTGAAGATGACTGCCTATAATTTTAAAGCAGTAAGACATTTTGTGACTTACAAATGTGATAAATTAAAAAAGGTATGGCACATTTAATGCATCTGCTAAATATTTTTCAATAAAGATTGTTTTGTACAGGTTGAACCTCTAATCCAGCACTCTGTGGTCTGACAATTTTAGTTATCCAGGTGTCCAATTATCATGCATGTAGACAAGTTTCTTGCTGTCCCATCAAGTTTGTTTACAGCTGTAGGGTAAACTGAGGCAGCCCTAAATGTGCTAGTAGGCCTCTAAACAGCATGACTCTATCCTGGGATTAGACCTGGGAACACCACAGTCAGGATAAGAGCTGCACACAGTAAATGACCCTGGGCACCATAGCAACCACATTCTAAAACACTCGGACAGAACCCCAGTTGGTAACGTAACACATTTTGCTTAAGATAACATTCATAAAATGTGCTTAACTGTCTTGCTTCACTCCTAGATAATGAGCCTGAAAACCAAGCACTGCACCAACTCAAGGCCATACCCGCCTGCTATAGAAACATCATCATCTATGCAGACTAAAATGTTATTACTGTTTTGCTGACATGTTTTGGCATTTGAACAGTAACTACCTGTATATTAATTAATGAGTTGTTACTTTGCAATGGGCGGAGATATTATGTAATCTTTAGTAGTTCTATTGGCTTATGTGCTCATTTTGTCTTGCTACTAGACCTATCAAATCATTTTTCCTCCATCCACCTGCTGACTATATAACCTATTGTATTGTTTTAATTAACCAGTGTTCACCAGGGTAACCCCTGCGTGTCACTCTATCAGCTGGTGTATAATAAATCCTCCGCTTGTTTTCACCTGCATCCAGAGTGTCCTGGATTATTTCCACCAGCCCTGACTCTCAGTGTTCTGTGCTGTTATTTAGCTCTAAATTTACTGCTAAGTGTCTTCTAAGAGCCCAGTAGGCAGTGGAAGTGTTGGTAATGCTGCTAGACAATATTGACCTCCCATGGTTCGGCAAATTCTCTAGTTTGACCCCAGTGAGGTCTCCAGTGAGTGCTGGACTAGAAAGGTTCAACTTAGGGTTGATAAATAGCAGATAAATAATGCTCACTTGTGAAGGTTAATTTTGTATTAAGGGGGCAGCAATTTAGTATTTACTTATATAGCTAGATGTGATCCAGACTAAGCAACATAAGAAGTTTCATGATGAAACAGGAGTGTGTGTGTGTGTGTGTGTATATATATATATATATATATATATATATATATATATATGAGATGTATCCACTAACATCCTGTACCATAATCTCTATAAATTATAAGTTTGCATATATTTAGCCACAAGTCACCACTATTTAAATGTATGCTGTACCAAAGAAAATATAGAAAATATGAGCATTTTGGGAAGCCACAAATGTTTGGTCAGTTCCATGTACACAAGTAGAAATTAATCATAAAACTTCACATTACGGATGTAAAAGTGTGATCGTGTACACTTGGGGTCAGCAACCTATCAGAAGTGGCATGCCAAGATTTAACTTGCCTCATCCCCTTCAGTGCAAGCCCTGCCCCCTCCCATCCTGCCCCTGCATCCTCCTTCACTCCCCCTTCCTATGCCTCCAGTGCACACACTGGCAGAGCAGAAACACTGGGACTTGCAGTTCCCTGGGAGCAATGCTAGGGTGAGGACAGATTGGGGGGGGAGGGGAGGAGGCAGAGTCTCACTTCCATGCCTGGCCCATCCCTTTACCCTAGCTCCTCATCTGCAGGCTGTAGCAGGTATAGCCTGGGGCTGCCTAGTGCGGTCCCCAGCCCCTGACCAGACACAGTGGGGAACTGTGGTCTTCCCATCCTCAAGGAGCAGCTGCAGCTTGGCCTGGGCTCTGAAGCCCCAGAGGCAGCAGCAGGGTGACCAGCCATGCTACCCTGATCTGCAGAGCAACCCCAACCCCCGCCCCCTCCCTGAGCAGGAGACAGGGCCTGTAGCACGGGGGTGGGAGTGTTAACCCTTTAGCTCCTGGGAGCTGTACACCCCAGGGATGTGGAGCCCAGCACAGGGTCGTGCCACCCAGCCCCTATACCATACCATGCATGCCACACACACACATAAAAAAAAATCTTTCATGCCACTTATGAGAGGCATGCTTTATGTTGCTGACCCCGCTGTACAGTTACACACAGCCCACCTCCCCCACGCTGCTGCCTCTGTAGCCACGGCAGCAGCGTTGGGGGCAGACAGGAGCAGCCTCTGGCCCCACACACTGCAGCAGCGCTGGGAGGTGGGGAGCGCTCCATAGGAGATGGTATATGCAGGAAGCCATCTTAAAAGCTGGCTCTTCACATGCATCGGCTCCCGGAGAGGAGCCTTGCCCCACATGTAAACTTGTAATGGCTGATTTTTTTCAGCAGTTACACACTTACCTAAATAAACACACTTTAATATCCCTATTACACATTCCATGTTCCTGAAAGTGACTCTGTGTCATCATAAGATTTGGTGACATGAGAGAAGAGAGCGGTGTATATTAGTACCTACCCCTAATTTATCAAGGTATCAAATTTCTGAAGAAAGCACACTAAGTGCTCTGTAAGAGGCACTTAGAAGAACTAGTCACTGAATACTTGAAAGTCCGGGATCCAAAAGTACACCAGAGCTAAGGAGTGGGGGTAGAGGGAACATGAAAGAGAGTACATGAGAAATTCCTAGGTAGCCCAAACACATTTTTATAGCAAATTACAAACTTAATTACACAAAATGAAAAATATGGCCAATCCCCTTCAAAAACCTGCTATTCATGTACAATATCAGAGTCCAATTAATCCAGACTAGGAATGTTAGATTTTGTGTTTTTTAGTAATTATGTAGATGCAACAATTTTTAAGTTACACAGTTACTAGAATGGCCCTTGGGGGTGGGACCAGTGTTAGAGAAAAGAAACTGCCCCCCAGTAAAAAAGTTTGGCCAGGCCGCTCTTGACTCCGAGAGAAACTGGCCGCACCCTTCCTGCATACCATTGCCTTTAGAAAAGGGGAAGGTGTGAAAAGGGGAAAATAGCCTGACTCCCCCACCCATCACCTTGGCATGAGAACTGCGGGGCTTACCTGGTCACATGAAACCTGCAGTTTCGGCCCAACCCCTGGGACACAGACCCCCCCACTTGGTGACCGTTGGGCCATATATGGTAATATGCAAGCGCGGGAAAGCAATGTGCAGATTTGGGGATAAATACCCATGGCACAGTTTGCTCTAGGAGGTCTTCGCAACACACGTACCACCGTGCATGTGCCTTCTCGTATACTTCCAAGTGCTGCCGGCCTGATCAACCGACCAGCCACCTCCCCCAACTCTCGGGCGTAACCAAGGCCTTCGCAACCGAACCGATATCTGTGAAATGTTCCGTGTGCTGTGTAAGTTGGTATGTATGATTTGATTTTTTCCTATTGTATAAGCTTAGTGTTGCAGTTGTTTTTGGGTAGTACATAAGAGTTTGTAGTTATCACTGTTATTTAATTACTATAGCTGGATATTTTAAGATTAGAGACTATTCCCCTTGCCATTCCCATCCTTATATCGCTGACACGTTTTACTAGAAACCATAGAATAAAATATAATACTGTAAATCCATTATTAACACGGTCTATTAAAAATCTTAATAAATTCACCATTGTCATAAATAAATATTTTTTATTTGATAAAACTGTCCACCTGGTTCTGTCCTTCCCCCCTTGGGTATTTATCATCAGACCTGTGATTCTCGCGACAACCAGAAGCCAGTACATTTCTGGCCCCACGCCCAGGAAGCTGCTGCCACCCCGCACTACTGCCTCTGATACAGAAGCAGCAGTACAGGGCGGCAGCAGCCCCTGTCCAGAGGGGTCGGAGCTCCTCCAGACACGGGCTGCTCCATGGCAGCCTCTCCCCACACTGCTGCCTCTGATACAAAGGTAACAGCACAGTGGTGGGGGTAGAGAGAAGAGGGGACATGCAGATCCTTGGAGCAGGTGCTTGGGGGCACCCAGTTTTTAAGTAGGCTCCCTATGGGAACCTGCCTCCCTCACCCGTTGTGCCTTTGATTCAGAGGCAGTGGGGCGGGCAGGTGTGTGTAGTTGTTTGGATTAGCTGATAATTAACTGATAACTCTGGTTTATTTAAACATCTATACGCTAAAATCCCTAATCTAGATGTTTTAGTTTAATGTAACATAACTAATTCTCGACTCTGAAATGTGTTAGTGAAAAGTAGAGCTGTGGAGGATGGAAATTCCATTTTGAGCATTATGAATTTTGTTTTCAATTATAATTTGGAAAATCCTACAAGTTCAAAATTCTCAACAGAAGAATCTGACAAAAATTACTGGGTAATCAAAAACACTTACATTTTATAACATGCAATACAAAATATAATTTTTAAAACAAAGTAAAAATATCAAAAGATTTAATTTTGAAAACTTTCAGAATGTCACTTTTCCTTCAAAGTAAAATTTTAGTGAAATTGACATATTGCTGAGCATCTCTTTAGATGGTACTACATTTTTCAGTGAGAAGACGGTTCTCAATGTTTCCCCCTCCCCAAATCAACAATAGTACCATGTCTTAACACAACATAAATCGGATTTCCTATCAGTCTCTCCACACGGAGCCCAGCATTAGGCAAAAATTATTGATTGTTGGAGTTTAAAGAGGTCCACTTCCCTGCATTTATGTACGGGGAAGGAGGGAGAAAACCCAAAACAGACTTGCAGGCCTAAGGTTCTGCACGTGTTCACAGAAGCGAAGGCAAGGTTTGCCACTCAGCAGTATGAGACTCTTGGCAAGATTATTTTATTGCAGAAGACATTAGGAAAAGATTACTTTGAGACATACATAGTAGGATAACATCACTGCTCACTGTTGTGAACAATGGAGGACCAAAATAATTTTATATTTTTTTTCTCCATTCTGTTAGCTCACCTCAATTTCATTATTTCCAACCCACATCTTTTTGCGCCTCTAGCTTCTATTCTACCCCATTCTCTCCCTTTTAAAAATACTGTTGACGTCCCAATTGTGTCTTTGTTCTTGCTCTGGCCTGCTCTTGTTCTCTTACCTTTCATTCCTTTGTACTCTATGAAGATGATAAACCAGGAGCAAAAGAAATAACATAGTAATGAAGAAGCATTGTGAAGAACAGGCCTGCTTCATCTTCCTGTAGTCAAATACAGCATAAAAACATCCCCAAACTCAATTACAGGGTATTACCACTATTGATGGCATAATGCAAGCCATATATGGACACGGACCATGGCAAATAAGAATAACTGAAGAAAAAAAAAAGATCAGTTTTTAGGTACGTAGAATAAACTAAGATTTTCTTGCCTGATCTGACTCAGTTTTGGCATCAAAGCCTACCTGAAAGCTGAATATCCTTTTCCTTTACTTCCCATCTCTCCTTCAACAACTTAACATAATATGCACCTCCAGAGAATTATGGTTTGTGAACTTCAGAACTGTACAGCAGCAGATAGATCATAGCACTCCTCAATATTGACATGTGGCAATATTGCTAATTAAATTCATGTTTACTACACAACATTACACTGTATTCAAAATACCAAACTTTGCATGTTACCTTTTTCATTGAATTCCTCTTCATACACATGACTCATCTTTATATGCAAATTTCTCAAATTCCCTCTTTAAACACTTTCAGTAAACATTGGTGCTAGGTGGTCAACTTTTACTTACACAGTGAACATGTTTGATGTATTTCAAGATGCCAGTTATTAGCAACCAAATAATTAACAATTATGACACATATATCCTGCCCTATCCTATGATGTACATGAAAACTAGCATAGCTAGAAGAAAAATGAAAGCATGAACAAAAGATGTTTGTATCATACCAGCCTTCTACATTTTTCCCCCAGATAGGACTACTAGGTGAGCTAATTTCTACAGATTTGGATATGATAGCATGTGGAAAGAGATTTGAGGAAAAAGGAAACCGTTTTAGAGTGGAATTTCAATAGTTCAATTTCAGAAGCAGCAATAGCGGTTATAACAAAAGCACTTGAAGCAGTTTCTAAACAGAGAGGATTCACACTGCTTTCTGCTATTGGCACACCTTCATTTAGTGTTTTTATAAAGAAAACAGAAAAGGAAATTTACTGCTGAGTCAGTTCATACTAGGAATGGATACAAATGTATATAATTACATCAGACCCATAGAGGAGAAAAAGTTTGTGCTGAAGAACTTGAAGAAACTACCAAAAACAATAAAACCATCTCACAAAAGCATGACTGAAAAAAATTCTTTTTTAAGTCTCACAGGCAAGAGTCCTAAAGTGCTCAGACGTATCTAATTGTATATTCTTGATATATGGAACTGTGCTAAGGTCAAAGCATGGTTTCCAATTGAGCCTGCATTTAGAGAGAGGAAATTATATTATACACATTTAGCGAGATAAATCTATTCTAGAAGTAGCACCAAGGTATCTTAAATCACAGTAGTTCTATATTTTCTTAATATGTACAAAAACAGTTGCATAGAAAAAAATGTTTCCGTAATTTAAACATTATAACTCAGTTCATAAATAGCTATGTTCATGACAGAAAAATATAGTAATACTACTCTACATTTAAATTTGTAACCAAAAATTGTTTAAGTTTTACTTTAAAAAAAGAGATTGTTTAAGTCAATTTTTCTATAACCAGATCCATTAAAATACTATGTTATAAACATCTGTCCATGAGGAAAAGAGGTTAAGAGAGTCTGTCTCTTCCTAAGATTCTAGCACAAAGACCAATGCAAAGAATTTTCTGCAATATGAGAATCTGTTCCATTATGATAGCTTTAGTGCTTGAATGTTCTGTCTCAGATTGAGCAGTTCTTTTTCTTGTCTTGTTTTTTCCAGTTTGAAGGCTAATTTGTTGGCTTTCTTTTCTATTCTGCGTTCCTGAAAACATGAATGATTTCGACATTAAACCCCTTTTTAAGATTTGCAGAGACATATATAATTTATACACACCCCAACACCTTCATAATCCAATACAGATATTTGAATAACTTTCAGACACATACAATGTAAGGCCTGGTTTAGACATAAAACTTAGGTTGACTTACTAACATTGCTCACCGGTGTGAAAAATTCATATTCCGGAGAGATATAGTTAAGACAACTTGCTCCCCAGTGCAGTTACCACTCTGTTGAAGGAAGAGTCTACACTAGGGAAATAACTGCAAGAGTGCTATTGTAGCACCTGTACTGTAGAGTGCTCTACTTATCTAAGCTCTAGTCTAGAGACATGCTGCTTCAAATTCTCACATTCTTCACATTCCCAGTTTGAAGCATGCCAACATTTTATATGACAAAACGACTACAGTTTCAGCTATCTCTTTTGTTTTCTTTTTGCCAGTGGCTGGCACCATCCAGCTTTTATAGCTTAGAATAGATCAGAGGTGGTGGCAAAAGTACCATTAAAGGATTATAAATAGGAAATGAATTTCTTTCAGTCATAATAGCCCCGGGGGATGAGAGGCGGGGGAGACAACGGACAGAGAAGACAAAACTAAGAGCAGATAGAAGAGGGAAAACTAAATAGAGAAAAAAGGAAATTGAGAAAGACATTGAGAATTTCTGCGGAATGATTACCAAGAAAACATTTTCCTACTATGGGGAAAAAAAAGAACCAAGCTTCCTAGTGCAAGGTATTTTCTGAGGGGGGAGGGGGGGAGGAGACGGGGGACACACCCTTGAAGGCTAGTAAATTTTTCCCATTAATTTCCAGAAACCAAATAAATTTGTTTTAAAAGAAAAAATGTTTTTTAAAAAATAGAAAACAGAGTAACAGAACACAATTTCATGAGGAATTTTCTTAACTTATGAAAGATTAGATTTCACCTTTCTTTCTTCCTTTATAGCTAGTTTTCTTGCTTTTCGATCTTCACTGCTTTCATTTTTGGAACGTGGCTGTGTGGACACTCTTGGCAGATCATTTTGATCAATCATTTGCATACGTTCAGTCTGCTTAGCCGTAAGACCTCTCTGAGGCAAAATATTCAGTGGAATTCCAGTCTTGTGAGAAATTTTGATTGGTTTGGACTAAAATACAGACAATGTGCCAATGAATAAGTTATCTTTAACCCTTCATCCTCCCCGGCTTCTTTTCCAAGGGTTACAGAATCACCAATAGTGCTGCAAATTTTCCAGTAGTGAACACAAGTCAAATTCAGCCATCAAATAGATGGACATAATTTCCCCAACTCAACAAGAACAATATATACATATCTGTGGGCTGAAGCTGGCCTTAAGAAAAACAATGTATATTTATCATTGCTTTCCCTGCCTTCTTTTATTCACATTTTACTTGAAGTAGGGATGTAAAGAGTCATTTAAAAAGGTAACTGTGCAACCGATGACATTTTACTTGAAGTAGGGATATAAAGAGTCATTTAAAAAGGTAACTGTGCAACCGATAAAAATCTTAACAGTTACATGCACTGCTGGCTCGACTCCCGGGGAGCCGCAGCATGTAATCGGTGGCAGAGGCACCTGGCCAGCCAGAGCAGCTCCTGGCTGTGGTGGTCCCATGGGGCTGAAGCAGTATCTGACATGGCAAGGGGGGAGAGCTGCTTCAGCCTTTACCTGTTAACTGCAGTTGGTAAGCCTGACCTTTTAACATTCCTAACTTAAAAGGTGACTAAGAATGAAGAAAATGAGGGATGTAGTCTCACTGATGCTTTATAAAGAGGTCTCAAAGATGGGGTTTTTTGGTTTAAACTTGATATTTTAAGGTTTACTTTAATTTTGCTACGGGACTCCTTGGAAGACAAAAGAACAATCATAGAACTGGAAGGGACTTCAAGAGATCATTAAGTCCAGTTCCCTTGCCTCATGGCAGGACCAACCATGGTCTAGATCAGAGGTGGGGAACACCTTTTTTTGGGTCAGGATCCACTGACCCACAGAAAAGTCAGTTGGAGGCTGCATACACGTGAGAAGCAGAAAACAAATCCTCACTGTGGACCCCAACTGAGAAAGAGAAAGACATTCCCCTCTCACACCAGAGCCCACAGGGGCCCGGCCTAGTAGATTTTGTGCGCTATAGCCCTTCAGGGGCAGCAGGAGGGCTGGAGCATCAGGAGGGCTGGAGCATGCCAGAACCAGGCCCAATGCTGGGGGGTGAGGGGGGCTGAGCCTCAGGGGCCAGAACCAGGCAAGCTGAGGGCCGCATCTGGACCCTGGGCCTGAGGTTCCCCACCCCGGTCTAGATCATCCCTGATAGATGTCTATCCAACCTGCTCTTAAACTGCTTTCATATCCCCTCTCAGTCTTCTCTTTACTAAGCTAAACAAGCCCAATTCTTTCAGTCTTCCCTCACAGCTCATGTTTTCTAGACCATTAATCATTTCTGTTGCTCTTCTCTGGACCGTCTCCAGTTTCTCCACATCTTTCTTGAAATGTGGTGCCCAAAGCTCAGTGGTTTGAGCATTGGTCTGCTAAACCCAGGGTTGTGAGTCCAATACCTGAGGGGGCCATTTAGCGATCTGGGGCAAATCTGTCAGGGATGGTACTCGATGGTACCCTACTGTGAGGGCAAGGGACTGGACTCAATGACCTCAAGGTCCCTTCTCAGCTCTATGAGATAGGTATATTAACTGAGACCTAATCAGAGTACAGCCTAAGTATTACTTCTCATGTCTTGCTCACATCAAAACACTTCTGTGAACACATCCCAGAATCATGTTTGCTTTTGGGGGGGGGGCAGTGTTACACTGTTGACTCATATTTAGCTTATGGCCCACTATGACCCCAAGATCCCTTTCTACACTATTCCTTCCTATACAGAATAGGAAATGACTGTCTGTGTGAAACTGATTGTTCCTTCCTAAGTGGAGTCCTTTGCATTTGTCCTTATTAAACTTCATCTTATTTACCTCAGACCATTTCTCCAGTTTGTCCGGATCATTCTGACAGTATCAAAAAGCATTTGCAACCCCTCCCAGCTTAGTATCATCTGCAAACTTAATAAGCGTACTCTATGCCATCATCTAAGTCATTGATGAAGATATTTAACAGAGCCGAACCCAAAACAGGCCTCTGCGGAATCTCACTTGTTATGCCCTTCCAGCATGAATGTGAACCATTAGTAACTACTCTGAGAACAGTTGTCCAGGCAGTTACACCCACCTTATAGTAGCCCCATCTAGGTTGTATTTCCCTAGTTGATGGATAAGAAAAGTCATGAAAATCTACTAAAATCTAGGTATACCTAGATTCTCCCTTATCCACAAGACTGGCTGTTATCTATCACCTTATTATCTTCCAGATATTTGAAGATAAAATCCTTAATTACTTGCTCAATTACCTTCCCTGGCACAGAAGTTAAACCGACTGGTCTGTAGTTTTCTGGGTTGTTCTTATTTCCCTTTTTATAGATGAGAACTATTTGCCCTTTTCCAGTCATCTGGTATCTCTCCCAACCTTCAATGACTTTTCAAAACTGATAGCTAAAGGCTCAAATACCACCTCTCTCAGTTTCTTGAATATTCTAGGATGCATTTCATCATACTCTGGTGACAATTACAGCCAACAGGAAAGTAACTGCCTTTGTCTTGACTCTACAGAAGACCAAGCAGCAACATGGGTTGTAAGCTTTATATACTACAGAAAATAAATGTAATGGGTTTACCTTTGCTGGTTCCTCAATAAGTTTTGGATGATTATACAAATTTGAGTATGTACCTAAGGTATGAAAGAATAAACATAATGGAGGACTGTACACTGAAAAGTTATAGTGATCCTTTCACATAACTTTTTACAAATTACTATATATTAAATTTTAAAGACTGAAGTGTTTAGTGTACTTAACACACCCCTCACCAAATTTCTTTCATGACAATGTATACTGTTATGTACCAGAGCTAGAACCCTTGCTATAAGTAACAAGACCGTCATCCATTTACTTTACCACCCCTGAAAAAAGTAAAGGGCCTCACATACTTACTCAAAATGGATTCACAATCCCACTTCTCTTTGGGTTCCTCAATAACTAAAGTTATGATTTCTTCTTCCTCACCCTTCTCGTTGAGAGGAGAATCTAAATCCTCTCTTGATTCAACAGTGCTGGGTTTCACACAGCTTTTGGAGAATATAAGAGAAGAGGGTGAAAGACAGGCAAAGGAAATGTAACTATTTCACTATAACGGGGGGAGGAGGGGGAGGGAGGAGAAGAATGAAG